GCCACTTCTGGCCTATTGTACCAGCCCCAGATGATAGGTGAGGGTGATTGTGGAGCAGTTGGTGGAATGAAGATTAGCAGGGGAAACCGAAGTACTCGGAGAAAACCTGCCCCAGTGCCACTTTGTCCACCACAAATCCCACTTGACCAGCCCCGGGATTGAACCCGGGCCGCCGCGATGGAAAGCCAGCGACTGACCGCTTGAGCTATGGCCCGGCCTTGCTCCATGGCTTAAAGCAGTTTGTGAAGCAAAGATCGCTGCTTTTTGGAGCGTAAGAAACACCATATGTATGTAATATTTGTGAAACTAGTGCACAGTTGCAGAAGTCTCTATTGACTTCTTATGCACTGCATGTTACTGTATTATGTATCAGGGTTCCTCATTGGCAGTTTATTGGAAATAGACAAGCAGAGTGTGAGCTCTGGACTGTAAAGGATTTAAATACAATATTGAAACTTCTTATAATGAAACTGTTGCCTGTTATTTTGAGTTTTAGCTTCATTAGCATTGCTTGTATTAATGATAGACATTGTCCTTTAACATGTAAGAAAATTTTTTTATTAAATTTCAACAAATGCAACAATATTTATTATGATAAAATAGAACCTGTTGCCATTTGAATAGGCTGCATTTCTGGGAGAACGAGCCCTGATGGAATGTGACTTTGCAACGCGAGTTCTTGACTGCATGTTCTTCACTGGATTTGTGTCGGAGAGAGGTCCGCCATGGCGATCATGTGATGTTTGGGATGAATTGTACAGCAGTATAGGGGACCAGCTGCGCCTTGAGGTGCAGGACCAACGCATGCTGCTAGTTCACATACAGGTATCTGTCTGTACTGTGTCAGTGTGAGATCGTTCTAAAGGTGCATGTTTTGTTTGGCTGAGTTTGGCTTATACCATTTGTATAATTGTATAGAAACTGTATATTTGTCAGCTTTTATCTTTTTCCTATTTTTAAGGTTTCTTTTACCAATATATAATTTTCCCGTTCATGAAAAAGCAATTTACTTTACAATATGTAATTTATGGGCTACTTATTGAATGTTATTCTGTAGAAATGTCGCGGAAAGCTGTTCCAAAATGTTTGTCACAGGTCTTACATATCATTGTGGACAGTGTCAAGACAAATGTAGTTAGTGGTTCTATTTTAAATTAACAAACAAAGAGTTCTGGGTTTGGTTCTGATTGTCACATTTCTCTTGAAAATAAAATTAATTGGTCTGTATAATGACATCCGATCACATGAAAATGGGAATATAGTCAACCTCTCAAAATGTGGTGTATTTTCAAAGAAAATGGTGTTATTAGCAAGTCTTTAAAATGTACAAAGGCATCTTAATGTTTATAATTTAACCACACATGAAGCCAAACTCTTCTGTGCAAATTTTGCCAGTTTGCATACCTGAAACCAGCTGGTTTGAAGAGATGAGGAAGAACGTGCTTGTGCTAGAGAATTATACTTTCAGATTATATCTGGACAATGAATGAAATTATATTTCCTTGAAAGTTCCCACCTGAAGGAAAATACAGTAATATCGAAGTGACAGGCGCAGAATCTCTGATATTTCAGATGAAAATGCAGAGTTATTTATTACAGCTTTAACCCTTTGAAGGTTGGATTTGAAAGGGCCTTAAAAGCACTGTTGAAATAACAGGACATGGAAAGTGGAAAACATACACGTATGTAATTGTAATCCATGAGATTTTCCTGATAGTGAGCATTTCAGTATGTAAGTACTTTTCAGAGAGTTTGGTTTATTTACATTCTGTAAATCCTATGCTGGATTAATTTTATTGTAACTTGGGCTTTGACGTGTTCTATATCTGGAGGCGCCATCGCCAAATGTAGATCTGACAAACAAAAAAATAAATTGAATTGAATTGAATTCCATAGCAAGCTGCACTCAATTTAGGTACAATTTGCTTAACATGTATTTTCCGGGACAGTGTACTGTTGAAATGTATTCCAAGGAATTTTGTATCAAGTTTTTAGAGATAATTTATTGGCATAAATGATGACCAGGTCAAATTGGTTGTGAATTGTATGTAATGGGTTTTATCAGAATTTAATGAGAGTTTGTTGGCTTCAAACTGCCTGTTTAGGGATATAAATAAGCTAAGGTAAAGCTGTCTCTGTTCTTTACTAATTAAGCATTACACCATGAAGGTGTATGGGATAGTGGATATATGGGGCCACATTTTCTTGACCTCGGCAGTAGCTGGAGGTGAGTAGTCAGCTTCAAGCCTTGGCCACTTTACCCCCTGGAGAAAGAGCCCCTGGTACCCATTGGATAGGAGGCTGGGTTTGCCCTAGAGCTGGTCTGGAAGATGTGGAGAAGAGAAAATTCTTGACCCTACCAGGACCTGAACTCCAGCCCACAGCATGTCGCTATACTGACTATGCTATCCCAGCTCCTATAAGCATAGAAATACAAAATTTATATCATTTTTAAAATCTTCAGATTTAGGGTTCTTGAATATTAAAGTAGTGTCATCCACAAATAAAATTGTTTTAGATTTTTATTGACACTTTTTGATAAATAATTTTTATAGAGAAATAAAAAGGAAGGGACCTAAAATTGATCACTGCAGAACACTGTATTTTATAATTGCCAGGTTTGAGAATGCATTGGGACTGCAATTTTTGTTTTTTATCTCCACTATTTGGTACCTGTTTTTGAGGTATGATTTGATCCATTCATTAGCTTTGCCAATTATTCCTTAGATATTTAATTTTGATAATAAGATATCATGATTTAACACAATCAAAAGGTTTTAGCAGGCCACAAAAAATCCCTCCCACAATTAATTTATCATTAAGAGCACTTAAAATATAATTGGTTAGTTCATAGGATGATTTGTCCGTTGTTAACCATTTCCTGAATCCAGATTGTTCTTTAACTAATAAAAGTAAGTAAAAGTAAAGTAAAGCTATCCCTGTAACAGGCCTTGAAGGCCCATAGGGTTGTGAGACGTCGAGGCTCCCACATTTTCTAGACAATCAGCTCAAAGATGGCGGTAAGGTTGTCAGCCAGAAAAATTATTTAATTAATTCCTGGTACTCATTTCTGTTAGAGGCTGAGTTGACCCCAGGGCCATAGTGCAGTTGGAAGGATTAGGTCAATTGAAAAAAACCCAATGACCTCATCGGGACTTGAACCTGCTACCTTTGTTGACAATTGTTGACAGTTTGAGGTTTATATTAGAAAAGTAACTATCAAAAGCATGTGACAACTAATGTATTGGATTATTGTTGTTGTTGACATATTTTCTCAATCGATGAAAGGAAGTATTCATTAAATACACTTGCAATAGCTTGTGGATTTTGAGTGGACTTCCCATCAATATTCAATACTCGTACATCTTCATTAATAGTTTTGTTTCTTCATTCAACTTTCACAGTTTCCCAGGTGGTTTTAATTTTATTATTTGATTCTAGAATTTGGCTATTATAATTATTCTGTTAGCTACCTTAATGACTTTTGACAGTATTTTACAGTACATTTTGTACTGACTTTTTAAGTTTGGATCATTACTGATTGGCTAAGTATGAATGTCTTTTGTATTTATACCCAATGTTATCTATAAGCCATTTGATGAGATGGTACTGAATGATCAGCAGCCAGCCAGGATCAGACTGGCATGGTACTTAGGATATCTGCAGAGTAGAACTTAGATGAAAATACTTTGTGTTTGTTGCCAGGAACTTGCACAGCAGTTGTATACAAATGAAAATCCAAATCCTCAGCCGTATGTTCAGAAAATCTTGAAACCGCCCGATGGAGCGTTTGCACGTATTCACCAACTGCCCTTCCCTTCAGTCAGTGCTTCTCAAGTGCAAGCAATTATTGATGAAGGACTTGCCAAAAACAACCTTAAGTCAATGTAAGTATCAACACTCTGGAATGTTGGTCTAGTGTTCATTTAGAGTTCATGGAATTCCTTCCAGTCATTCATATAACAAATTACTGTCATTTGAACTTACTTTAAATAGATTACAATGTGGTTGATCTGAATACAGTGTATTCTGAATTGAGCACAACCCTTGCAGCAGTTTATATCCCAACTGAGCGATTTACGTGCTCTCTTGTGCAGCCTGTTTCTTGTGCCTGCACTGAGAATATGCATATTTTACTGACTTCCATGCGTGTGGGAGTGTAAGGGGCTTTAATAATTCTTGCAGGTTCACTTAACAGTCATCTTGATTCTTGTTGCAGTGTGTGGTCTTGTGAACTGGAGCAAGAACCATTATTTTACAAATGAGTAATTAACAATAAGTAACTGTAGGTTAATTCTAATCAAAGAGCAAAATGCATTGTACAGTGATTGTTGGTAATTTATGAGCCATGTTACAGATGGGTGTAACAAATCAAAGTTAACATAAGACAATTCACAAAAGGTTACACTGCGCCATGCGCTTTGTTATGTCACTTCGAACACTGCATTTTATTTTGCTGTAACTGTCACATATCTGCTCCAGAAATTGTATGTGATGGATAAGCAGTACCACCCGTTATAGCAGTGATGAATCAATCCTTGACTGTCTTGATGGATCTCAAAAGGTGCCTGGTTGCTCCTTTAAGCAGACCTTCTGAGGTGTGAGCTATGGTCCAAAACAGTGGAAACAGTTTATATAAACATGAGTCTGGAAATGCTTTAATAATGAGCTATAGCCATTCAAAATGTTTCCAGCAAAAGTATGGCAGCAGAACTTCTGTTGCAGGACTAACTTATTCTGCGGACACTGTTAAAAGAATTTGGAGTTCAGAGTTGAAGGTATGACTAGCTACTTCTCTCCTGTCTTTACCACTTTTCCCATACTACGAAGGGGGACCCAAAAATAACCGGAAACGACCTGTTGCGCGCGCATGCTTTGAAGTTACGAGTTGTGCTGCTAGATGGTGTTAGCTGGGGGTCTCCCGCGACTGTTAGTGAGCTGGCGTCAGTCTGAGTTAAGTGGTTTGTCTGTGGTGCTCTGTTGTGTGCGNGTCTCATGTGCAAACCTTCGGTTAAAATTCGCTGGACCGTGCTCCATGAGATGTTTGTTTCCTCAGAAAGTTGGTCAATGGTCTTTCGACGATCTTCATCAATTTCACGCACACTCTTTGTTCCTTCTGGTCGGCCATCTCACTAATCGCCAAAGGGTTGAAACAGGAACGCACACAACAGAGCACCACAGACAAACCACACAACTCAGACTGATGCCAGTTCACTAACAGTCGCGGGAGACCCCCACCTAACACCACCTAGCAGCACAACTCGTAACTACAAAGCATGTGCGCGCAACAGGTCGTTTCCGGTTATTTTTGGGTCCCCCCTCGTATACCAATGTGTCTGCAGTGTTACTGAGTTGGCAGCACATGCTATAGTATGTGACACCAGGTGTCCATTTACAGTGAACTGTGTGCACAAGCAAGTGCTCTTCCTTCAGTGGCATAGTTGCTGTGTAAACTCTACTTAAAATGGACCATTCTACTCGCTGTGCAGTTACTTCTGTCACAATCTGAACAGGGTGACCTGGTCGGGAATCATCTACCACTTTTGAACGTCCTTCAGAGAATTTCTTGACCCAGTTGTGGTGGTGGTGGGGGGGGTGGATACTGGAGAAACTGCAGTGCTTTCGAAGTTGGTCTACCTTGGCCTGCAGCAGTCGTGCCATTTTACAGCGTGGCTCTCAATCCATGCATCATGGGCTGAAGCTTGTCTTGCTGAGGTTGTTTGGCGTTGGAGTATCTGCTGTAACCTTGACAACATTTGTTACCTCCTGCACAGGAATGGTGTAACAGCACTTTTGGCTTGAAAGACTGAATTTGTAGTCAATTGCTTGCTGCATTATATCTTAAATGCTGATATTACTGATAAAGTTTGTCATACAGTTGTTTAAAACGAGGCCTGCTTACTGGCCTAGTGGATAAATAAATTTTGTAACTGAAGTGAGACGCGGTAGCGTAGTTGGTTGAGGCACTATGCTACAAGCCAGAAGGTCATGGGTTCAAGTCCTGAAGAGGTCATTGAATTTTTTTTTTCTATTTATGTAATCCTTCCCGCCGCACTGTGGCCCTGGGGTCAACTCAGCCTCTAACAGAAATGAGTACCAGGAATGTTCTTGGAATATTCTTGGGGGTAAAGGGTGGCTGGCGCGTAGGGCTGACAACCTTGCCACCATCTATGAGCCGAAGGCCATGCCATAGCTCAAGTGGGATCTATAGTGGACAAAGTGGCGCTGGGGTAGGTTTTCTCTGAGTACTTCGGTTTCCCCTGCCAATCTTCATTCCACCAAATTCTCCATCATCATAATCACCCAGGGCAGGTACAATAGGCCAATCAGTGGCCGCTGTGCCGAGTGGACTCAACTGGACTCCGCCCCCAACTGTCTATGAGCCAATTGTCTAATAAACGTAGGAACCGCAATGTCACAACCCTATGGGTCTCCACGGCCTGTTACAGGGATACCTTTTTTTTTCTTTACTGAAATTATGCTGTGCCACTGTTAGAAGGAACACCATGGTGACTGTTTTGTTGTTGAGTGGGGAAAGTGTTAGTGATAAAAGATCAGTTGTGTTTACATCTTTCTCTCCCAAGTCGGGTTTTCTTTAGAAGTTCCACATCATAATCTGCTTATGTAACTGGAGTTCTACTGCCCCACTGTTTCCAGGAACACCTTTGAATGGCTATGCATCCATACTGGAGCATTTGCAGACTCACGTTTTTATAAACTGCTTTCATTGATTTGGACCATAGCACTCACCCTTCAATTTACTGTACTTATTTCTGAGACATTTTATGTTTCTGGTGGACATAAGTAAAACCAAGAAAAATAATACTTTATATTCACTTAGTATGCAACAGTTTCTGACACTATTGGTTCTTGAAGCATTTCTGTGGTTCATGTGTGTTATTAGTGAAGTGTGTAAATGATAACAGAGTAGGATGGGAAATTATGCGCCATTCCTCTTTTATCTTCTTCATGCTAGCCATGGTAGTGCTGGTGATTTAGCATGGTAAGAATCTTAAAATACATATTATATGTTGGTTTTTGTACAGTGTAACATTGATGTAGTGAGAACTTGTATTTCCTGGTGAGTGCCTGCAATACTGAAAATAATTTCAGTTTGTTATCATAATCCCAGCTTACATATATGCATCATTTCACATAATCTTAAAAGAAAATTAATGCAGGCAATATGTTGCTTATGCTTCATTAAATTGCATATGAGAAGGATTCTTCAGTGTTGAGGCCTTCAGCATAGTTTTGACAAAATTGCATTTTCTTGGACCCATAGAAACTTCTGTGGGTCCCTGTATGCTATACAGACTAGTGCTGTGTCCATTCCAACAGACATTCTCTACTCTTGAATATGGATTTATAATTTACGATGAGAGGTGGAAATGAGTGTTGCACTGTCTGAGTGGATATTTGAACCAACTGGAATTTTTTTCAGTTTCATTATATTTATGCTGGTCATATTCACTTGAAGTTCACAGATCTTAAAAATCTCAGTTTTGCTTTTTATTGCTGCACACAACACAAGTGCCTACATTTTATTTTTCAAAATGATAAAAATTGTCTAAGGAGTCCATGTGATCGTTTTTGCTTGGCCCACTGACTGCACAGAGATGTATTGTTTCATGTCTCATGTTGAAGTCCAAACTGTTTTGTTTTCACTTTGTGATTTGGGTTGTATACTTGTAATAATGGGAGTCAGGATTGCTCAGTTGGTATAGCAACAGGCTATGGGCTGGATGGCTGGAGTTTGATTCCTGGTAGGGGCAAGAGATTTTTATCTTCTCTATAGGGTCCACACTGGCTCTGGGGTCCACACAGCCTCCTGTCCAGTGGGTACCAGGGGCTCTTTCCTTGGGATGTGAAGTGCCTGTGGCATGAAGCTGACCACTCACCTCCATCTGATGCTGAGGTCAAGAAAGGAGAAACTGTCCCCTCCCCCACATGCCTGCATGTAATGATAACTGATTAATTAAGCACAGGGAAAATTTTGTTTGTTTTTTTTTTCCTTGGCACTACAGCCCCAGTGGGCCTAGGCATATCTTCATGAACTTCTCTGTTCACTTTGGTTTTTCTAGGTCTTAGACATATGGTAGGACTCCTTGGGTGGGTGATCAGCTCGTTGCAAGGCCTCTACCTGTACACAAACACTGAAAAACGCACACAAACATCCATGCCCTGAGTGGGATTTGAACCCACGATCTCAGCTTTCGAGCAAGCGAAGACAGTGCGTGCCTTAGACCACTCGGCTACTGTGACTGGCAAGCTTTGCTTTTACCCTTATAAATACTGTAACATGACACATGGTTGGGGAGACTTTGAACTCTCAGTTGCAAGAAAGAAGGGCAGAACAGTGAAGCAGTGTCGGTTGAACTGTGCTCATGTTGAGGGGATGTCATTGGATAAAATTTACTGGTGCAGAGCACACACACATTATACAAGACACTAGATGAGACACTGGAGCTGAATGAGGGGTATTCTTTGCTGTGTGCTGGAAGTTGGTCCAGAAGTGAAATCACAAATACAGGCTGTGCAGAAAGTTAACAGAAAAGAACTGCAACAAGTTATGGGAAGTCATCAGAAGAACAGCATGTAACATTTAGAACTGATGGTAATTGTTTTCACTCACCACACTGAAGTTCTCATTCTGTCGTTATGCTGTTTTATGTTTTTGTTCATGTTTTCTTTTTGAAGCCATATGTGCTACTTTGCTGCTGCCTTAAAATTGCGCTATATGCATGAAATTATATTGATTGCTCTAGATTAGAAGCAATTCAGTTAGTGAACAGTTGATGAATACCATTTTCCAGCTAGTTGAAATATCTGTCAGTAAAAATATTGAAAGTTGCACTTTACTGAGACTGATTCATAAAATTTTTTTGCAGATGGGATATTATTTCGCAGTTTTCTTAATTACTTACAGACGTGTGTTCCTATATTGGCAGTGGGATATGAAATATTACTTTTTTCAAAATTATTCATGCTCTCATTATGTTTTTTATCCTGCCACTCTTTTGTTTTTGCCTGATTGATAATCATTCATGGCATGGATTAATTTCTGTCAGGACTAGAACATTCTGTGTTACTGAAATGAAAGGGATTCATCAGTTTTGTTAGGTGGAACAGTGTCAGTTTCAGCACAGATAATAAGAGAAGTCTTATGGTTTTTAGGGTATATACAGTGTTTAATGTTATGTCTCATTCAAAGTTTAGTTCCTTTGAATGTATCATAGATTTATACCAGAACTTTATTTAATTCATTACAGTTGTTTTGCGAAGAGAAAAATGTGTTGTTTTGAATAGCTGATGTCACTTGGTATTCATGATAGAAATAACAAAGTCATGTGATGTGCACTTTGACATTAAAAGCAAAGTTATATTTATATTGAGTTTTTTGTGAATACTGTAATTTTTTATTTATTTTTTATAATTTATTTGATTGATACTTCAAGTAATCCATACAAGTGATAACAGGTCTCCATGGTTATAGAAGTAGTACATTATTAAAAATGAGTACGATAGTAGCAGTTATAACACACAACCTTGTCAATAAATAACACTATGTAATCAAGGACACTATTTGTATCAATCACAACAATATTTCATATAATACAATAAAACATACTAACACAAAAATAATATACAAAGGAATAACATAGCTGTAAATAGGTAATATGAAGAACAATTACACTATGTATGATTCATAATTATGCTGCCCATTCAAGGTATTGTTTTACTGAATAAAGGGATTCCTTTAAGAAAAAATTTGTAGTAACTAATTTGAAATTTTTAACATCATATAACACTTCCCTTATGTCACACGGTAAATGATTGAAAATTTCTATACCCATATAATAGGCACCTTTTTGCACTTGGTCTGTATTTTTGTATGGTCTAATCCTCATTTATTACTCCATGATTTCAGGTTTTCTCCTATTTAACATCCAGGTTCAGTGTTTTTAAGTCAATAATCTTAGTGTTAAATTTCTTCAGTTTAAGGTTATTTTCAGTTTAGTGTTGAAACCTACTGGTCCCCCAAAATATCTTAAATAGTGGTTTCACCATATATTAGTTTACACAGACTCAGTTAAGTTGGCTTTCGGTTACCACTGTGTACGAGATCTGAAGCTCTTACATTGAAAAAGTGTGATAAAATCTCAGCTGTGTTTGGTTGTATCATGTGGTGCCCTAAAAACCAATATTTCAGAAACTTTTTTTGTATCTATTGTAAGAGCCAGTCCTGATACTGGTAACAGAGCAAGCCTCTGAACATAGGTTTTGAGTTCAGCCTTTATGTATCTGATCACCTGAGAAGAATGGAATACCACTATATATATTGTTTCTAGTATTGCGTGCTTATTTCACATTTAAAAGCAGTGTCCTGATCTGCATATTATAGATGTGATGTTGGTATTGTAGGAGATACATTGAATAGAGAATGTTTTATTTTTATCAGGTTATCATCCATGAGGCCAGTGCAGCCACGCATTGTTCCAATGGGTCCACACATTTCTAATATCCATGATCCTCGTCACATAGTCAGCAACTCAGCTCGTCGCCTGGAGGTAACTTTAGAGACAGGTCACAGCTCTTTTGCATTCATGTGCTTTGTCAGTACTTAGGAAGTTTTGTTCTTTATGAATCAAGACTTCATAGAAGTGCCCAAATATCTGATGTGGCCAGTCTAGTAGAGGCATGTGATAGACAAAGCATAGTTTGTATTTTTCATAATTTTGATAAATCATTTAATTAATTACTAGAGGTTAATTACATTATGTACGATAGATTTTAGGGAGATGGATTGTGTGGCTGGGATAGTTCAGGATGGTTTCCAGTAGCAGGCTTTAGTATTAGCTTTTACTGGACATTCAAGTTATGTTACCATAATATTTTTTGTTGTTGCTAGTGGGGTGAGACTAAGTCCCTTGTACTGCGGCCACTTCTGGCCTATTGTACCAGCCCCAGATGATAGGTGAGGGTGATCGTGGAGCAATTGGTGGAATGAAGATTGGCAGGGGAAACCGAAGAACTCGGAGAAAACTTGCCCCAGCGCCACTTTGTTCACCACAAATTCCACTTGACCAGACCCAGGATCGAACCTGGGCTGCCGCAGTGGGAAGCCAGCGACTAACCGCTTGAGCTATGGAGCGGCCTGTCACACTATGTTAGTTCATTCTCAGTGTTGGTTTAGTTTTCTCATTTACCTCCTTTTTTCAGGTATTACGCAATTGCATCAACTGCATCTTTGAGAACAAGATATCTGATGCACGCAAGACATTTCCTGCTGTTCTTCGTGCACTGAAGTCAAAGGCTGCCAGGCTTGCTCTTTGTACTGAGTTAGCACAGCATGTAGTTGGCAACAAGGCCATGTTGGAGCACCAGCAGTTCGACTTAGTTGTGAGACTTATGAATTGTGCATTGCAGGTAATGCTGCTAGCAAATTTCAGTTAAATCTGTCAAGTAATTTTGGAGTTGAGAAATACATATGGATAGTGGGTGGGCAGGTTGACGGACACATAGAATCTTGCCATTGCATTTCATGTTGTGCATCTTGTGCACTGATCACATGAAAAAGTAGTTACGGAAAGCTGTGCACATGTATGTGTCTGGTGAGCAGTCTCTATGAAAGTCAGTTTTAAGACTGGTCTCATTGTGTTTGTAACCTTTGCTGTTTCTGGTGATGTCTGTCCAATTTACAGTTTCATATTATGTTTAGCAGCGAGTGTCAGTTCAGTAGTTTAAACATTTCATACCAACAATGCATGACTTCACAATTCTTCTGACGTAAACTTTACAGGATGATTCTGCTATGGATGAGCATGGAGTAGCTGCTGCCCTCTTGCCATTGGCCACAGCATTCTGTCGCAAACTTTGCACTGGTGTTATACAGTTTGCGTACACCTGCATACAGGTAAACTGGCCGCATAGTTTAGGTATAGAATCCTTTCTTTTACAAAACATCATGACCATCCATTGCAATGCTGCTTGGCTTTTGATTTGATGCAATTCAAGAAAGGTGATACAGTTAGAACATGGTATCATTAAACATGCTCTTCACTATGTTATTTTTAGGAGCATGGAGTATGGCAGAACCAGCAGTTCTGGGAGGCAGCCTTCTATCAAGATGTACAAAAAGATATTAAGGCACTGTATCTTCCAAGGATAGAGACCAGTCCACCGAACCATCACCTTTGTGACACAGCTCTCAGTCCAAGAGAGGTATGTAGAGACACCACCATTAACTTAGCAATGTATTTATTTGGGGAGTATGTGGTGAGATAGAAAAATACTGTTTAGAATATTTTCTGGCTATTAAAGAACCAACTAATTTCATGGAGAAGAGTCCTTTTTGAAAAGATAGTAGTTGCTCAGCTTCTTATCAAAACTCCTTGCCTTTTGTGAAACCTGAAGGTTTATTGGAATATCCACAAAGAGCTTGAGTATGAGTATGAGTATGAGGGTTGAGCCATAAAAACCGGCCCTCGCACCATGACCTTCAATGATCTATTGTGCTTCCCCTTTGGATTGACCCTTTATTAATCCTACACTTTGAATGAAATGTAGGACTTTATTTATGGGGGCGTCATGAAAGTCACATGGTTCCATGAAGAATTGACCCAGGTGGCGAAATCTTAAGTAAGCTGTAGCCTCACAATCACATAAGATGTGTGTGGCTGATTCATCTTGTAGGCACCTTTCACAAGTTGATTCCTCTGTCAGTCCCAGTTTGGAAAGGTTTCCTTTCAGGCGGCAGTATCCAGTAAGTAATCCTGCCACCCATCTTAATTGATCTCTGTTTAATTTTAACAGGTCCCTCGTTCTTTTGGCAGAGGGTCCTGATATAAACCCCTTTGCCTGTTTGAGTCCAGTTGTGGATTCCCAGTGTATTTTTGTGATTTCTGTTAGTCCAGTCCCTGATTGCTTTCTTGGCAACTCCAACTGAGATGCCGCAAGCTGGTTCAGGTCCTATGAATGGCTGTTCAGATCCGTTCTTGCCAGCTGATCTGAGGTTTCATTCCCAGCAGTACTCTCCTACTGAGATGTCGCAAGCTGGTTCAGGTCCTATGAACGGCTGTTCAGATCCCGTTCTTGCCAGCTGATCTGCGGTTTCATTCCCAGCAGTATTCCAATTCAGATGCCACAAGGTGGTTCAGGTCCTATGAACGGCTGTTCAGATCCTGTTCTTGGCGGTTGATCTGCAGTTTCATTCCCAGCAGTACCCTCATGGCCTGGCACCCAAATCAGCCGAACTCTGTTATTTCACAAAGAGCTTTGACTAGACTCTGTCGAGAGCCAGATGAAACTAGTCCACACTTTCACACCCTGTCTCTGTAAGACCCATCTTAACATTATTCTCCCCACTGTGCCTAGGTTTCCTAAATGGTCTGTGCCTTTCATGTTTTGCATTTATCATCTCCAGTATACATGCTTCATAGTTCACCAGTCCGTGTTTTGATCACCATAACAATAATTTGTGCAAGTAGTAAGTAATGCCTTCGAGCTTGTATTTATGAATTCATTTTGTTACTAACCATAGATAGCATAAAAGTGGGATGAAGGTGGTACATATTTCTTAATTTGTTATTATTTCAGTGTACATTGTTTTATCATTTTGGTATGTATGAGTTTGTTTTATAAAAGTACAATGTAATGTCAAACCAATTTGATGCCTTTCATACCTAGAACAAAGACTTTCCTTGGAAAGACAGAAGATCAGGCTTCACCAGAGCACAGGAACCTTCAGCACTAGAAATTGCAGCAGAACAGATGAGAATCTGGCCAAATCTTGACCCAGGTAACTTCATAAAAAAAGTCTGTAGTCATAGAACTTACTACATTTTGTGTGTTTGAAAGGCATTGTCTGCATCAAGAATATACATGGTTTGAGACAAGTAGAAAGGATAGTCTGTGAATTTCATGAAAACTGGTCAGCTGCTTCAAAAGTGTAAAGGTGGAACACACAGATATATTGTGATCACATAAACATACTTTTTTCCCTTATGTAAGGAAAGTATGCTAAAAATGAATATGATAATTCATAACAGGTAATAAATTAAATTATTCACCTCCACCTTGTCAAGATTAAGAATGTGTGGAGCTCTGCCTAATTTCCTCCTGTTGTACTTAGTTAATTAAGCATAAGAACAACTCTTACCTATCCTAAATCAAAATAAAAAGTAAAGAGCATTAAAATACCTCAGTGTGTAGTTGACCCTAGAAGTGGCATTACGGGTTCCGGTAATGGAAAGTAACAGTAGTTTTGTTCTCAGAATGTGTGATTCAAAACATTAAAAACTCATAAGAACTCTCTGTAGTTGCACATTGAAATAATTTTAGTAGCAGTATAATGGTGAATGTAATATTGATACCTAACAGCAAAATATAAAATTTGAACCTCATTGAATGAAACATTTACATTTGTCCCACAGAGATATTGGGTTTTCGGACTTTATCCATCGTCCTGGTTTTTAAGATAACTAAGAAAAACACGACATTTTGGAAACTGGATCTGTTTCCATCCTCAGGTGAAGGAAAACACCTATTCTGTTGGGTCCCTTAGAAAGAGCTAGCCACAATCACAATCATTGGTCCAGTGATTGAGGCTAGCTCTTTCTAAGGGACCCAACAGAATAGGTGTTTTACCTCACCTGAGGACGGAAACAGATCCAATTTCCGAAACATTTTGTTTTTCTTAGTTATCTTAAAAACCAGGACGATGGATAAAGTCCAAAAACCCAATATCTCTGTGTGTTATACCCCATCGTCAGAATCCTATAGTAACTATTTACATTTGTCATCTTGCAGAGAAGCAGACTGAACTGGTGAGCAGTGAGGAGTCCACATTGTACAGTCAGGCTATCCACTATGCCAACAGAATGGTTTCTCTGTTAGTTCCTTTGGACAGTAGCTGTCGGATGCACAAGCAGGATGCAGCGTTTGATGATGAGAGGGCTAGCAACAGCATTACAAATAGGTAGCAGCATGGTCCTTGGTTTTGGAATTCACATGTCATACCACAACTTCAACAGTCTGTTTGTTAACTGTGGATGTGATGTGTTGTATGATGCAGTGTGGCAGAGAGTGATAGTGCTGATGCAGAATCTGGGTTTGAAGAACAAGACCCAGGTGAAATGGGAGCAGCTGTTATCAGAATGGTGTCTCGCTTTGTAGACAAAGTCTGCACTGAAGGTGGAGTCAGTGCAGAGCATGTGCGCAGTTTGCATCAAATGGTACCTGGAGTTGTTCACATGCACATTGAGACATTGGAAGCAGTCCACAGAGAATCCAAGAGGTTGCCACCCATTCAGAAGGTAAGATGTCCAGATATATTTTTTGAATTAGCTAAATAATTTTCCCTGACTAGTAAATTACTTGCACCAAGCCAAGCATAATTGTTTTCAGTAGGAAATGGCTGTATGGAGAGCAGCTTAAAATAGTTTAATGGACTGTTTGCTTGCTCTGGATTGTGCTTGTTGTTCAGAGTGTAGACTGCTTCTTTAGTTCACTGAAGTAGGTGTATAGAAGTATTATTCATGCATACAAATGCTGAGAATTGTGTGTTCATGAACTGGTGCTGAGTGGAGTCTTGGTTTCCAGCCAAAGATCCTCACTCCAAATATGCTGCCTGGTGAAGATGCTGTTATGGAAGGTTTACGGGTATACCTGCTGCCTGATGGACGTGAGGAGGGTACCGGTGGTTCATTGGGAGGCCCCCCTCTCTTGCCGGCTGAGGGAGCTATTTTCCTTACAAATTATCGGATTATATTCAAGGGAATGCCTTGTGATCCTTTTGGTAAGTTTAGATTGTGTTTGTTCTCTTTCCATAAACTTGAATAAGAACTTCTGCAATGAACTCCATTGATCTGTTTCTATCTTTTCTCTTAGCATGTGAACAGTTAGTTGTGCGATCTTTCCCAGTCACCTCCTTAACCAAGGAGAAACGAGTTACGGTGCAGTATCTAGCTCATTTGGATCAGTGGCTTCAGGAAGGACTCCAGCTCCGGTCCTGCACATTCCAGGTAGAGCAGCAGTGTGTTGCACTGTCTGTATTGTACATTGGATTCCAGGTATACAAGTATACAGCTTCGGATTAATTTAAACTTTTACTTCTCTTTACTTCATCAGCTTTTGAAGCTGGCATTTGACGAGGAGGTAACACCTGAGAATATTGAAAGTTTCCGAAAGTTGGTGCACCGTGTTCGCCATCCGCCTCATATCCTTCACCACTTTGCATTTACTGGGCAGGTAGTGGTACCACAAACACCATTACACAAGGGCAAGGAGAAGAACGCTACTCTCAAGTGAGTGAACATCACTTATGTGTCTCAGTTCACTTATGTTACCATTATTACTCTGTGCTGTTGAGTGATATCTAAATTGATGTGTGACATTCTCTTCACATGCTGTTCAGTAGTTTCCCATATTTTGTGGGCTCTCCAACAGAATTAAGGTTATTTTTGGAATTTTATGGTCACATAAGTTTTGTTATACTTGGCAATATTTTCCATATTAGCCAGTCTGACATGTTTACAACCAGAGGAGGCAGTGGTGTATTTGTTGACCAACAAGCCTGAGGACCACTGGTTGTGAAAAGAAATATTTTATGCCTGCATATAACAATTTTTAGGCAAAAGAGTAGATGGCAAGAAACTTCAAGGCTGGTGGAACAAGCTACAATTAACAGAGAGCAGCTGTAAAAATATATTTAAAGTGCATGCTTATGTGCATACAGCCCCTGTAGTGACAGTGTGGTGAGCAATTATTGTGGGGTTTCAGAAACTTAATTAGTTAGTTAATTATTGGAGAGGGTGGGTTTCCCCATGCACTTAGACCTGTATTGGTCCATTGTGCTTCCCTCTATGATTTCTACCAGTCTCTATATCCTACTGGTACTGGTGCTTACCATCAGTCCCGCCCAGCCAGCGAGACCGGCTCTAGTAGCTGAGAGGTATCTATAATGCTTCCCCCATCTACCAGAGGTATTAGAGACTGCTGTTGGCGGGAAACATCTGTAATTTGGCTCAGTGACCTCCTTTGAAGATTTTCAGGAACTTACTTGAGGGATTAATTTTTAAAGGGAGTATGTAAAGCCTTTATTCTGCCTCTCTACTTTATGTGTGAAATTACAAGTTCAGAGGCAGAAACTGCGCTGATGCTCAGAGTCGAGGCTGTATGCCATATTGTTTGCTTTGTACTTGAAGACGAAGTTACATTTTTAAACACTGACTTGTATAGTTTTCACTGAAATCATTTTATGCAAAATTTGTAGACATTTGTAAATATTTTATGTCTATACAGTTCTCCAGTGGGCACTTCTAGAAAATGTCCTTCCAAATTCTGGTAATGTCAATAACATTGTACAGTTGTGTTTTCNCGACTTTTTTCTCTTCCCAAAAATCAAGTCTGCGCTGAAAGGGACCAGGTTCGAGTCCGTGGATGCAGTGAAAGCAAAAGCGACGCAACTCTTGAAGAGCATAACACAAGATGACCTGCAGCACTGCTTCCAACAGTGGAAAATTCGCATGGAGCAGTGTAGGGATCGGGGAGGGGACTACATTGAAGGGGATAACATTTCGACTGTCTGATTTTTTTTTAATAAAGGGTTAGAGCATGAATCCGGTTTCTTTATTGCCACACCTTGTATAGTGCAAGACTACTTTTCCAAACTCACTGGTTAAGATAAATGAAACTTTCAAAACTAAGTCTGAAAGTCTGTTTAATGTCCATATTCTGTTGTCCCTAACTCATACTGTAATCATTAGTGGTCTTGTATGTACATGCTGATACACATCTGTCTGTCACAACAAAGGTGCTCTGAATATGTCTTGAAAACATTTTCATTTTGTTTGCATAGAAAGTGTGTTATGAATACATCTTTAAGGCACCACATGGAAACTTCACAAAGTTAGAATTTTTCTTATATTTTATAGAAGAGGCAAGTAAAAATAGGAAGTTGTGTTCTATTTTTTATAAGTTACAATTTAAAAGAAACAACACTGCACATATTGTGGAGAATTCTATATCTGTTGTAAGAAATTCAACAGCTTAATTTTTCTTTTTTTGGAATGTGTTGTGATGGCAAGCCTTATTGTCATTTACCAATTAGAAGAAGGGAAGTATAATGCAGTTTCCAAAGAATTTGTGTGGACTCTTTATGTGTTTGTTCACAGACTAGTTGCTCCCTTCCAACTGGAACTAGCTGAAAACTGGCATGACATACAGAGAGAAAAATTTAGAGAGTGATTTATAGATGTTTTGTAATTTATTTTCTGTGTGTGTGTTTTCTTTAATTTCTGCTTTCCATTTCCTTACCTACTACATATGTTCTGACACTAATTGCGTGATTGCCGTTAGGGCTCACCCCATCTTTGTACTTCTTTTACTCCGTCATTAATACCAATATGATTATCTGTATTGAGAATTTCATAGATGGGAACACTACTGCCACATATGACTGTGTTTCAGACTATAAAGTTATTAGGATTTTGGATAACTGCTCTGACTGTTGCCCAATATTTGTAATTTTGCAGGGGATTTGCCAAAAAGACCTTGTTAAAAACAGCTCGGAAAGCTGGATTTAAACCCAAAACTTCCTCAAAGCGGCAGAAATATGTATTACCAAACATGAATAGTAGCAACAAGTACCTGACATCCCCTGGTCGCATGAGTCTTCCAGTTACTGACCCTGGTGATTTTGGGCATGATGATGACATCTCAGGTGAGAATTTTATATTGAAGTTTTAAAGTGGCTTTATTTAAATGGTGCATCATTTGTGCTATTAGCAACAACAATGTATTTTCCCACTCATAAATTGGTGTGGGACAAGTGTGGAAAAATTAATAACAAAGATTTTAATGAAATGTATTCATTTGTCCATATGATATTTTATTAACATATTTTGAAGTGACACATATTTGACAGTTATGATAACTATATGGAAGGACAAAAGAAAACTATGGCTGGCCGAAGGCTGTGTGTACTTATGTGGAAAATAGGTGACATGTTAAGTATATGCCAATTGTGATTTACCCTGCACCTAGTTTGGCAGTCAGTCAGGCTTTGTAACTGCAGGTTATGTAAATTTTTGTGACAGTCCAATCTTTGTAATCTGCAGTTGATGAGTTTGAAGTGCCAGGACCAGGACTGGTGCCACCAGCACCTACTGATGCCAAGACGCTAGAAAGGTTATCAGAGAGGAGCTACGTAAGGGACTGGTACAGGCTTGGACTCGTTAGTAGTAGCCTGTCATCCAACTCAGGTTCCCGACAGCACACTGAGCCATTTCGCATCACAACTGTCAACAGCACTTATATGATGTGTCGAACGTGAGTAATCATATAATGCTGGCAATGTATGGTGTACGGTATGGTTGGAGTGGCTAACCTTAGGGAGTTGTTAGTTAACAACTGAGTTTGAACCTGATATTGGCTGAAAGGCTGAAACATGTTATGAACGTCATGATGTATCTAATACATACTTTTTTTTTTGCTGACAAACCAAAATAATAAATATTGCACGAAAGGGCCATGTCAGCATATGTTCTGTGAATTTACAAAGTAAGCTGGGGAGGGACATCACAACTGTCAACAGCACTTATATGATGTGTCGAACGTGAGTAATCAGATAATGCTGGCAATGTATGGTGTACGGTATGGTTGGAGTGGCTAAACTTAGGGAGTTGTTAGTTAACAACTGAGTTTGAACCTGATATTGGCTGAAAGGCTGAAACATGTTATGAACGTCATGATGTATCTAATACATACTTTTTTTTTTGCTGACAAACCAAAATAATAAATATTACACGAAAGGGCCTGTGAATTTACAAAGTAAGCTGGGGAGGGAGGGAATGCTGGGACAGAATGCAGTTAGTGTGTGCAGCCAGCCAGTCTATCTGTGTACAAAGTCAGGTGCTTGATTGAATATCCATATATCCACAACTGTCATGACCACACAACCATATAATATGTATTGTTCGTGGAGTTTTATTCAGCTTTACTGTTCCTCGCTTGGTACTCTCTGTAGAGAATGTTTTGGATATGTAATTTACATTACTAATGCAATAGACATAGAGTTCATAATTATTGTCAGTTAAAGAGTGTTTACCTATAAAATTAGCACAGCATATAGGTCAGTCTTGCAGTGGGACCCTTATTTAAGATTTTCCCACATGTATGTAAAAATCAATTTCATAGATCCCAGGTAAATTACCTCAGTGTTAAATAAATATCATCTCTAAAGTTTTTGTCAGGTTACTGTCTATATCAGTTGCTACCCAAACGGACCTTAAGTGTACAGCACCACATAAACGTTTACATATAAATTGAATTAGAAGTTAGATAAAATTAAGTTTCACATGGTCGCAGTTTCTTTAATGGGATCTTAGAATTTCATTAATCTTAATTGTGCATTGATATTATTTACACATGTTTTCTGTTTATGTCTGATAGTTATCCTGCCTTGCTAGTAATGCCAGTGGGTGTAACAGATGACAGTATCCGCCGATTCTGTCGTTGCTACCGACATGGTCGTATCCCAAGCATCACTTGGAGGCATCCTCGGACAAGAGCGTTACTTGCTAGAGGTGCAGGTTATCATGGAAAGGGTGTCATGGGCATGCTCAAGAGTCACCCATCTACTACTGGCAAGTAACATTCTGTAGAAATGTTATCTTTTTAAAGCATATTTCTAAGGTCTTACATTTGAAAATTCTTCTTCTGGATGATAGTTTTTGGTTTCAAGTGAACCTTTTTATTTATTTATTATGTTTTCATTATTTTTTAAGTTTTGATGTTGGTGTTGTCATCCTAAAAGAAAGAAAAAACTTAAAATTTAGGGTAAGTTGAAATATACTTTAGACCTTATTGAGTATGGAGGATCTAATTTGTGTACGGGAATAATGTGAGTTAGATCCTGACTCAGTGATGTTGTAGCATGTAGACCCTTTGGCTAGGTAATGGCCAGTACACATGCATCAGAGGAACACATCACATCTGCAGTGACCTCACGCAACAGTAGAAGAGATATTGCTGGTGGTGTTCTCTGTGTGTTCTCTCTGAGGCTGTATGACTCAGTCTACCAAGTTCAGTTCAGTTAGTGAGTACAGTGGAGTGAAGTGAGTTGGTTGGTGAGCAGTCAGAGGACTGCTGCAGTTCAATTGTTGTGAGCTGTTTCTGTTAGAACCTGGTAGCTGAGGCACGGGGATAGTTCAGGAACCCAAAGTAAGGGGAACATCTGTTCGAAGCTGTTACCAGAGAAATACTGGTGAAGACACAGCAAACTGAAGTGATTTAATGCATGCTGTAGTGAATTGTAAGAGTGTGAATTAGTGAGAGTGTTATTACATGTAGTTACAATCTGTAAGTAGTCAATAAATGAAATTACCAATCCAGCCTCTATCTGTAGTCACTTAAACACTTGACAATATGCATTAAAACCTGGGACTATGGTTCACATGATTTGTGCATTTGTTTGCGCAGGCCCCATGCTGCTTAAGTATCAGATATTTTGAGATATGTTCAGAGATTCTTTGTATAATTTTAACTTGCTGTTTGCAGTTTCCACTTCAGAAACTACATCATCCGTGGAGCAGGAACGGTACCTATCAGCACTGGTCTGTGCTACGCCCCTGTCTGCACTTAGACAAGGTTCAGCCTGGCACATGTCTGATAGTACCCTCAGTATTGATTCTCTGCTACTGGCAGCTGAAGATCATGCGCAAGGTTCTGGCACTTTAACCCCAGAAGTGTCTCGTAGGGCTAACCCATTCAATAAGGCCATGGGGACTCTTAGGTACATAATGTCATTTTTTGTAGCTTTTGTTTTTCGTATATATAAAGTCTTTGTTATCTGTGGTCTTCCTGTTTGCATGTAATGAGTACTATTTTGGTGAGACTTCAGAAGTAAAGCTTCAACCTTGATAGGTCCTTTATGAAATTCACTCATTCTGCTTTTTAGAAATGTTTATGGGAGATATTTTATTGATAATTGTTAAATGTTAAGATTAATGAGGAAAACTGATAAATACACTCTTTAATTTGCCTTCTATACCTTACTCATTTAATATACAGAGGGGTCCAAAAAAATGTACTCACTCTTTGATAGTCAGTATCTTTGGAACAAAATGACATGTAGTTACAATTCTTGTGTGGAGAGAGAGAGAGAGTTGTTGTTGTATGTGTTCGAAGTGACCACCATCAGTGGCTAAACAGCGTCGATGCCGCCGAACTGCTGAGCAAACTGCAGCTGTCAGTGTGTCCGGTGTGATGGCTGCACATGACGCTTCGATGGCTTCTCATAGTGTGTTCAGTGTAGCTGGCTTTTGTCAATAAACTTCATCCTTCAAGGTTCCCCATAGATAGAAGTCTAGAGGTGTTAGTTCTGTTGACTGTAGTGGGTACTCAGTAGCACCTCTTCGACCTATCCATCGTCCTGGTAGATTGTCATCCAAGTACGCCCACTTTGCAGCCTTCAGAATTCACCGTACACTTGAGCAGCTTACCCCACTTTTGCGTGCACACTGATTCACAGATTTTTTGCGGTGATTGTGTAAAGTGTTGCAACACCACAGCACTGGAAGCTGGACTTGTTACTATCCGTGGTCTCCCAGATCTTTGCTTATGCACATCATGAACAGTACCGTCGGCTTCAAATTTATCCCGAATACGGGCAATTGTTCAACGTGTTGGTGGCTGAGTTCCAAACTCATTCTGCCATTGTCGTTGTACCTCTTTAATGTTTTCATACTTCCAGTACCACTTCAATACAGACTTGCGTTGCTCAAAGAACAACCTTTCAGCCATTGTTGCTGCTGTCTTCTGCTTGCGGCGTGCACGCGGCACGACACTGACGTGACTCATGACCTTTGCCCTCTGTTGAGAAAACATTACACTACACTGCCACACAAGAATTTTAACTACATGTAATTTTGTTCCAAAGATATTGACTATCAAAGAGTGAGTACATTTTTTGGACCCCCCTGTATAATTTGTGTATTAAAAGTTTAATACACATATACTAGGGCTAAGAATGTATTATTCATCAGTTCCTCTTAAATTGCCCGTGATTATTGGGTCAAGTGTATTTCTGTATATGCTAAATAATAGAAATTTGCAAACAAAAATAAATTCATATCCCTACATCACAACCCGCACTCATGGAGTTCCGTATACTTGTTATGTTTTGGATGGAGTCTTTCTGGATGATGAAGAAAAGAATTTCCAGCTGAAAATAATGTTGCAGTGTTTTCTACTCTACCATTTTCTCTTGTACCAAAATTTACTGTGCATCAAGGTATAGTGGATAATGGTATGTTTTGTTACTTGTTACAGTGAAACTTATGTGTGTTCCAGTGTATTCCCACGGTCCAGTGGAGGCAAGGGTCCTAAGAGTTTCGGGAGATGGGGCTCACTAAAAGACCGCCGCCATAGCTCTCAAGGATCATTAACAACACTGTCTGTGCCTCACCGTGGTAATCCGAGGCATTCGGCTGACTCTGATTCTGGTACCGAGTGTGTCCAGACCTTCCAGAGGGCAGCACTTTACATCCTGGGAGAAAAGGCCCAGATGAAGGTAGGGTTCACTGTCATTCTGGCATTGGGCTGACACTTATGCACAAACGTTCGACAGCAAAGGTAATTTATTTACAAGAAAACTGCTGAATGTTATGTTAAGTGTTAGTCTTACAGAGCCTGCCATATTGATATTTCCAAAGAAATTGATAATATTCCAAGATTATTACATTTGAGAGAGACATCATGATTACTGAAATGATCAGGAGTGAATGTGTGCTGCAAGGAAGAGGTCACTTTGTACGTTTTTGTTAATTTACATGTATTATCCTGTGCTGTATATCTGTGACTCAGTAACCATTACATTATATTTCATTATTTAGGGTGTGAAGACAGAGTCAGCACCAAAGGCAGATTTTATCCCAGTAGAGTATTACGATGTGCGACACACGAAGGCAGCTTTCAAGAAGCTGATGCGTGCTTGTATCCCCAGTTCACCAAACCTTGAGCCTGAGCAGAGTTTCCATAAGTGAGTAACGGCATGTGTGAGGATGCTTCAGATGAAATCTGTTTACAGTGTTGGTAGACTAGAACAATCCCTGAACACATTTCGTCTGAACAAGCCTCGATCAGACAAAGGATGTTAAAAGAAAATTTTAATCATTTGACAGATGTTATGAAATTTGGTTAGAACATCAATGCTTACTTTCCTTTAACACTTCAATCTGCATAGTGAGGTCAGTAACAACTGCGTATTATAAATTATACCATTTATTACATATGATTTATAATAGCAAAAATAAATTTCCCCAATATACCTCAGCTTCACAGCAGATGCATATTTATAGTTCTTGCCATGAATGCACAAGTCCAAAATTTCACATATTCATAGCTCAAATGGTGGACACCTTTGCTCTCTATTTTTTAAATAAACAAATAAAAAGTAATATGAAACAAATTAATGAGATAAGACTGACATTCCATGTGAATGGCCCTGAAATTTTGTGTGTTAATAGATGTTAAAANATGTAAAGTATTTTATAAAATTGTATAAAATTTCTTGATGCTAATTAAAAATGTTTTGGATTGTCAATAATTAAAATTCGTAAACCATGCAGGCTCGTGTTCGTCCTCCCATCGTCCCTCTTATATGGGGCAGATAATGTGCCACCTGGCTATCTTGATGTGGAGGTTCTTTATATCGTCCAGGCTTTTCTCCTGGCTGCTGTGCTGTTTTCACTGTGAAAACAACACAGAGACCGAAACATGTAAGGGTGTTAAGTTTTCATGTAGTAAAAAACTTACAGGTCACATTGGACGGAGTGATTTATATTTGTAATTGTTAGTGTGATGGACCAGAATGAAACAAATCAGATGTTAAAAATATGTAACCTTTTATTAAGATATTTTGTACAGGATTTAAAATTACATGGGAACTACATGAAATGCACATATATTTTTTGGTCTGATGGCTGTAACTAGTGATCCATTTGAGCTACGAGTATGTGAAATTTTGGACTTGTGCATTCATGGCAAGAACTATAAATACGCCTCTGCTGTGAAACTGAGGTATATTGGGGAAATTTATTTTTTGCTATTATAAATCATATGTAAGAAATTGTATAATTTATAAGATGCAATTGTTACTGACCTCACTATGCAAATTGAAGTGTTAAAGGAAAGTAAGCATCGTGACTGCTTGTTAAAAATAGTTCTTATCTGCTGCTGTTTTAATTTCCATATTGAGTTGGCTCACATGTAACATCTTGGTATTATTATCCAGCAGCTGAGGAATGTGCATAAGCTTACCATGCTGTATAAAGCCATGTGGTTTGAATTGCTAAGGAACAGCAACTTCCATACAGATCTGTCTTCATTATGCTGACAGTGATCCAACTTGTGAAACAGTGTTCAACCAACCTTAAGAGTGTGGCTTTCTGGGATGTGATGCTGAGTATTTAGGTAGAACCATCTAGCAAACTACTTAGCATTGCATTCTAGAACACCGCTGTCTTAATGCTCATTGTTGTGAGAATCCTAAATAGACCTCATATCAATGTTCATTCATTCATATTGATTTTGAGTATGAGACTCATTTTTCATAATTTTCTACAAAGACTGACTGATTGACTGACCCATGTCCAAACATGGTTGTATACAGGTTGATAGAAAGTTCAGAATGGCTTCAACAGCTTCAGAACATTATGCAGTTGGCTGGAGCCGTGGTGGATCTGTTGGATGTCCAGGGTTCTTCTGTTATGATCTGCCTGGAGGAAGGCTGGGACATAACTGCGCAAGTATGTGGGGTGTATTTCGTTTTCTTTACATAAGCCATAAACATATTCAGAGATATTGGGTTTTCGGACTTTATCCATTGTCCTGGTTTTTAAGATAACTAAGGAAAAGACGACGTTTCGGAAACTGGATCTGTTTCCATCCTCAGGTGAGAGAAAACACCTATTCTGTTGGGTCCCTTAGAAAGAGCTAGCCTCAATCACTGGTCCGAAATGTCGTGTTTTTCTTAGTTATCTTAAAACCAGGACAATGGATAAAGTCCGAAAACCCAATGTCTCTCTGTGTTATACACCATCGTCAGAATCCTATAGTAACTACATAAACATATTACTTAACACTTTTCAGAGGACTGTGATAATCTATGTAAGATTTGAGGCTTTCACGGCGGTGACTATGAAGAAAGCAGTCTTCTGGGATTTGGCACCGTGTATATGTGGTGTTAACCGACGTTTCGGAGGAACGTATCGCCCCCATCTTCAGGGTAGAAGAAAAAGTTTAAGAAATCTGCAAGCGACAACACCGTGAGAAACGGTAAACGGTCTGCTTTACCGTTTCTCACGGTGTTGTCGCTTGCAGATTTCTTATACTTTTTCTTCTACCCTGAAGATGGGGGCGATACGTTCCTCGGAAACGTCGGTTAACACCACATATACACGGTGCCAAATCCCAGAAGACTGCTTTCTTCTGTGATAATCTAGTTTGCACTTTTTTAATATCCCAGCTCATTTGAAATTTGTTATTTATATGGTATCAAATCAGTCATTTCTAACATATCTGCAGATTCTGATGCAACGTTCTTTTAATTTCATAGGTGTCATCACTAGCGCAGTTATGTCTGGATCCTCATTACCGCACACTGGATGGATTCAGAGTGCTGGTGGAGAAGGAGTGGTTGGGATTTGGACACAGGTTCAGTCACCGCAGCAACTTAGCTGCCACATCCCAAGCCAGTGGCTTTGCTCCTACATTCCTGCAGTTCTTGGATGTGGTTCATCAAGTAAGACTTATTGACAAAATGTACATTTATTATAAAGTGTAACATATTACTGCTTTATTTAAACATCAGATGACCCTTATTCAGCCAGTGTAAGAGTACTGTGACATTAGAGTGTATAACTTATCATTATTTAATAGGTCCATAAACAGTTCCCGTTGGCTTTTGAGTTCAATGACTATTATCTCCGCTTCCTGGCATACCACTCAGTATCTTGTCGGTTCCGCACTTTTCTCCTGGACTGTGAACTGGAGAGGGTGGAGTGTGGTATTGCAGCTGTGGAAGATAAGCGTGGATCGTTGGCTTCACATCACAAAAGTGTGGACACTGGCTCAGATGATGAGGGAGTATATCCAGGTATGGTTAAGATCATATTACATGTTACTGTGTCTGTCCCATCTCTGGAACCACTGGCCATGATAATTCATATGAGGGGTTTTGCTTAAAAAGTTTTCATTTTGATTCACAATGAACAGACATAAACTCAGAACTAACTCTGTGCTCCCCCTGCCAAAAATGGGAAGTAGCACAAACTCTTGTGTGTGACCTAAAATGAAGGTTCTGTAATAACTATCTTTATCTTTACAGTTACTGTGACTGTAATCTTTATTTGAACAATCTAGTGAATTTGAAATAGGCTGTCAAGTAAGTAGCTTGAATATCTTTCCACCAATATATTAATTATTTTGTACCTGCAGCATAACAGAAGTGATTGTTGGCATTCTTTGTTCCATTAATTTTAGTATGTTTTTAAAGTATAGTAAACATTGATGTGATTCAGAAGTGGTATAATATTCAGTCAGTATTTACATTTTATGCCGGTCATGGTAGCCGAGCGGTCTAAGGCATGCACTGTCTTCTCTCACTCAGAAGCCGGGATCTTGGGTTCGAATCCCACTCTGGGCATGGATGTTTGTGTGCGTTTTTCTGTGTTTGTGTACAGGTAGAGGCCTTGCGATGAGCTGATCACCCACCCAAGGAGTCCTACCGAATGTGTAAGAACTAAAAAAACTGAAGTGCACGAAGAAGTTCATGGAGGTAGGCCTAGGCCCACTGGGGCTGTAGTGCCAAGGAAAAAAAAATACGTTTTACATTGCATGATTGGTTATAAATACAGCAGCTGACAGGTAATTAATGAAATAGCGGCCTCCGTAGTCTAGGGGTAACGTTCCCACCTCATGACTCAAGGTACGTGGGTTCAAACCCGGCGGAGGTCGTGGAATTTTTAAGGGCGGAAAAATTCAGGGAACAAGTCCTCCAGGAGGGACTTTAAGCCATGTGTCCTGTGTCGTAGATTTACGGCACGTAAAAGATCCTCATGTCTCTAGGAGACCTCTGAGCAAAGTTAGGCAAAGTTTCCCGCCCAAGTAGTTCCCAATTCCTCCGGTAGATGGGGAAGTATCGGGGACCACTGCCAGAGAGGGCCAACCTCGCTGGCAGAACGGGGCTGATAGCGAGCACCAGTACTGGAAGGACATGGCGACTAGTAGAATAATTAAAGGGGGATGCACAATAGATCAACAACTGGTCGCAGTGCATGGGGAAATCCACCCCCTCCAAAATAATAATAATAATAATAATAATAATAATTAATGGAATTAATTGAAGCAGAGAAATTCACCCTGCTTCAGAGAGATGTGTTTTACTATTTTATTAACAGAATTTCTGATTCTCTTGCATTTCCTTGGTAGCATAACACAGTGCACAGACATTGCCCGCGCTTTCTACGCAATTGACCTTGACTACAATACCATGGGAATAAAATTTATTGTTGCTCAGTGAATGTTGAACAAGAATAAAATCAGTCTGGCTGGCAAAGCCAGTTTCGCATTTGAACCAGCAGTGTACTTATGGCCTATGTAGTGTTATTTGGGAGGTGATCTCCATAATTTACTGAAACATAATAAAAACTGTTAAGACCAATTTTCTAGAAAACTGCCATTTTTGTGGTTTAGGCCCTTATTTTTGGAGCTGGAATGTCCATATACACCTGGCACTGATGTATGACAAACTTGTGAGTGCTAAATATGAATAAAATTCATCATTCTGTTTGGGTGCTACCGAGGTGAACATGCATACATATAGACTGGCAGACAGATAGCATACCAAAAATCACTCATATTCACGGGAGGAGAGAGAGAGAAGTTAAAATGTTATAATCCATCAAAATCTTAATTTTTTCACCATCACAGTACTTTCTCGCTTAAACTAGTATATGTAAGGAAGCAACACCCAGTGTGAATGATCCCTTTCTTTCAATCTGTTTTGAACTATAGAAGCTTGAAATGGATGTTAATCCTTAATCTAACAGACATTTCCTCATGACTCAAGGTACGCAGGTTCAAACCCGGCGGAGGTCATGGAATTTTTAAGGGCAGAAAAATTCAGGGAACAAGTCCTCTGGGAGGGACTTCAAGCCGTGGGTCCTGTGTCGTAGCTTTACGGCACGTAAAAGAACCTCATGCCTCATGGAGGTCTCTGAGCCAAATTACAAGGACGTTTCCTGCCCAACAATAGTCTCTAATGCCTCTGGTAGATGGGGGAAGCATCTAGATACCGCTGAGCCAGTAGAAGCCGAACTCGCTGGCTAAGTTGGGACTGATGGTACACACCAGTATCGGTAGGGTATAGAGACTGGTAGAATATCACAGGGGGACGTACAACAGACCACTGGTCGCGGTGCATGGGGAAACCCACCCCCTCCAATAATAATAATAATAACAATAACAATAACAACAGACATTTCATGTGCATTATTTATTTCACGAAACAAACGACTGGGGTATTCTGTTTCAGGGGGACGGCTGGCAGGCAGCAATGCAGGTCCTAACCTAGGGCAATCTGTGTTTGACTACATTGAGAAGCAGAGTGCCAGGTCACCACTGTTCTACAACTTCATGTACACACTTGACTCTGAGCATCCTGTAAGGTTTCTTCTGCTTCTTTACAGTTTATGTTAGAAACTGCTTGTTAAAGTTGAAGTATATATACATTGCTAGGTATTCAGCCAAGTAGAGGTAAAACATTATGTTGTGAAATGCACAACGTTATTAACTATTTGGAATGAGGAAGAATGCTACATCGTTGGAAGGAATCTATTCATGTATTTGACAAGTTGAAAACTGTAAAGTGTGCCAGTTCTGGCACTTTGAAACTGATGTTGTTTCTGGATTTTCAATTTGTGAATGTTAAATTATGATGCAATCTCTGGTTAACTCTGTGTAAATGAAATTGTTTAGGAGTGTCAGCATGGACGGTGATATAGAGCAACTACTGATCAGATAGAATTTGCATATCGGATAGTCTTTGTCAGGTATTGAAAAATAAATGGATGTTTACTGGGAAAGTAAATCAGCTATTTATGGACTTAAAGGACAGTTATGAAGTATGGCTTCCTAATACCTGAACATTCTGTGTTTAATTTGTCAGCTTTCTAACCGAGTGATTCATGCTTCAGGTTCTGAGGCCACAGTCTGCCCTACCTAGTCTTGAAGTGTGGAATTATTACTTAGGAGAACAATTGGCTCATGGTCCCAGTTATGATCTCGAAGTCATTCAGCTGGATTCTCAGCAGGAGGAGGAAGCGGAGGCTGCTGATGGAATTGTTAACAAGTCAGCTCGAAGAGTTGTTACAGTGGGGTGAGTGGACACAACCACTATCACCTCAATAATATTATTTTTATCTGCTTGAAAACAGGAATATGATGTGGAAGGAACCAGTTCAAGATGAAGAGAGCACAGAGAGCAGGTCAGCAGTATGTGATATAATGTGTAATTTCAGTTTAATACCCCTATGCCAAAATTTCATTTTTTAGCATTAGGTTGACATAAAGAACATGTTAGTCGTTTGACTATAAGAGGAGCCTGGACTTCAAGCCGTGGGCAGTCCCAAAACAGAGTTTCAGTCCCAAAACAGAGATGCAACCTGTATGCAGATCAGCCTTCTCATGCTATCACAAAATACTAGTCTCAAAATATACTTCATTTGTTTGTGTGTCCCTCAACAAATGGGGGGAATGTAGAAGACTGGTGTAACATATTTAAATGAAAATGTGAAGAATAGAGGTGAAGAGGGCAAGGTGTGAAGCTCTTTATTATGCAGTTTTCTTCAGCCTCCTGTCATCACTTCAACTCCAATCCAGATATTCTCCTTAGCACCCTGTTCTCAAACACTCTCAGTCTGTGTTCCTCACTTAATGTCTGAGACAAAGATTCACACCCAACAGCAAAAAATTGTAGTTTTGTGTACTCTAATCTTTTATGTTATTATACAGCAGACAAGAAGACCAAAAGTTTTGGACTGAATGGTAACTAACATTACCTGAATTTAGTCACTTGTTAATTTCCTCTTGAATCAAATTTTGATTTGTTACTGTCATTCCCAAATATCTGAACTGTGCCACATGTTCAGAGCACCTGTTATCTATATTAGTGTCATGATTTTGCCCTCCATTCTGGTGATGAGATGGCATCAAATAAAGTTTTGTGTTTCTCTTTATGGTATCTGTGTTATCAGCCAGTAGATTCACATCATCGGCATAGACCAGCAGCTGCCGTGTCCCATTTAATTTCAGTCCCACCTGATTTTCCTGGACATTCCTAATGGCCTATTTTAAAGCAAAGGTGAAACACAGTGATCATAAAACATCTCCTTTTGGACCATTCTGGATAGGAAAATTATCAGATAAATGTTTACCAATATAGATTTTACTATATGTTTCGTTTAAACACATTTTAATCAGCCTAACTAGTTTCATTGGTACTCCAAACTCTATGAGAATATTGTACAGTACTTCCCTCCTAACTGAATCATAGGTTTCTTGAAGTCTGTGAATAGCTGATCTGATCAGCAGTTGACCTGTTATGTCAAAACCCACACTGATGATCCCCAGTAATTTCATCTCTATATGGACTTAACCTCGAGAGAAGGATATTGGATAAAATTTTTTTGAAGTTGATAGCAATGATATCCTAGAATAATTACTAGAGCCAGTTTTATCACTCTTTTTGTGAACTAGTACGATAACAGACTCCTTCCACTGATCAGGCAATTCTTCCTGATTCCAAATAGAGTTGATGAGCTTATGGATCTCGCACCATAATGTCTCACCTGTTTGAATCAGTTCTAAAAGAATTCGTTCACTATCTGGCGATTTATAACTTGAACTTTGCAGTAGCAATTTCAACCTCAGAAGGACTAGTATCAGGTACCAATGGCTTAGCTGTATGGATTTCTGTCTGCCTAACATCTCTGACCCTATGTACATTCAGTAACTAATAGTAGTTCTTAAACCTATTGAATTGAATTGAATTGAATTTATTTACATTCTATAAATCCTAAGCAGGTTAGTACCTTTGGATACAGAACATGTCAAAAGGTTACATACATAAGTACAGGCAATTTTAGCTTAAAAATTAATATAACTTAATTTTACATCATTCTCTATTTACATTGAAGTATTCATCTAAAGAGTAGAAGGAATGAGCATGTAGATAATTCTTTAACTCTGATTTAAACTTTTTAGTATCATTGCCCAAGTTTTTAATACTTTGTGGCAGATTGTTGAACACTTTTATGCCAGTAAAGTAGACTCCTTTTTGATATACTGATAAAGTTGATGAGGGTAGGTGGAAGTTATATTTTTGTCTAGTATTCATGTTATAGACATCAGAATTTAATTTGAATTTATCTTTGTTGTAAACAACAAATAGGAGAAGCGATAATATGTATTGCGATTGAAGCGGTAGAATTTTTAATTTCTTAAATAATTCTCTACATGAATCTCTACTTCTACATCCTGTAATGATTCTTATTATATTCTTTTGTATTTTAAAAATTATTACACTATGTGAAGAGTTCCCCCAAAATATTAATCCATAGTTCATAATAGAATGAAAGTAGGCATGGTAAACCATCTTCAATGTTTCCTGTGACATAAAAGGCTTAATTGATCTCATCGCATAGCAAGCTGCATTTAATTTAGGTATAATTTGTTCAATATGTATTCAAAATGTTGTGGGAATGTGCAAGCAGATCACCATTCTCATCCTTCACTAAGATACTTCTAGGTTGGTAACCCCTCCTAAATTGATTTATTCCTCTATACAGGTCCCTAATGTTCTTGTTCTCACTGTTCATTGCAAGCTCATCAATTTTGTCTTTCAGAAATTCCTTCTTTTATTCCTGAAATGCCTGTTGGCTTTGCTTCTTATATGGTTCAAATTATCTCCATTTATTTCACTCGGATCCTGTAACCACTGCAATTTGGCCTGTTTCCTTTAAATACTGAGCATCCTTCATCCGTATGCTTCTTCAGTTCATAATAACCTAGACTCTATTTGGTTAAAATTTGATATTTTCTCTAATAGTGTCCCAAGCTCTATTAATATCTGATATCCTATCACTAACGAACTCTGTCCGTTTCACTGCTAATATGATTCTCTTACGTATGAAAAAACCTGTACCTAATTCATGAATCTCATTCCCCTTTCCATAGAAAAATATATATTCGCCTGCTGGTTCAGTACCATCTCTGTCCCATCTGATATCCTATACTTCAACTCACAATATCTCACTTATATTTGGATATTTCTTTTGCAACTGTCATGATAGAACCTACCCTATAGAGTGTTATTACAGACCACATACCAAATCAATCTCATGTCCATTTTCTTTAGCTTATGTCATTAATCCAAAGAATTACAGCATATAGTGGTATGAAAATTCAACAGAATATACAATATATACCAAAAACTGTAAGTACCAATTTTTTTACTTTAAATCATAGGCTATTTATACTAATGTAAATATGTGTATCTTCTGTACATGTGTAGACCAGAGTAAGAACACTCTGGTCTAATGTCAGTCACAAAATGTGCCTTTGAGAAAGGATAATATATATCTTGATATCCTGCTGTTTTTTAGTTCCGTATTTATTTGTTCCAATATCTTTGCCACTATTTAAGACATCATCAAATAGATCTTAAAGTATATGTTTTGATGTCATCAATTGCAGATATGATGATGTGGACTGTATTGTACCTGATGGGTTTTCCCACCTGCTGGAGGAAATTCACAGGTTGGAAACTGAACTAGGACATCTGCCACAGAAATGGAAGGTTCTTTGGGACAAACTTGAACTACCAACAGCAGACTCCCTGACTGTAAGTTTTTGGATGCTTGTATCTTTTAAAAGTGTTTAATGTGATGAGATATGACATATATTTACTTATAAACTCTTCCAGAGGCATGCATCATTCAGTACCCAACTTGTGCGCTCACATGGACGTCTCCTACACAAACGTTCTACTTTGGAGATACTGATGCGAGGCAAGATGGCAGGAGCAGCAGAGGCAGCTCAGCACGTGTATTCACATCCTCATCGGTTTGAGCGCTACAGTTATACAACACCTACATACTGTGACCTCTGCACTAATGTGCTTTGGGGCCCTGTCAAGGTAAATAGCTATTTTGCTGGGATATTCTGTGTTCATAAGAAAACGGAAGGCTAATTGGATTGGTCATATCTTACACGGTAACTGCCTTCTAAAAGAAGTTATTGAAGGAAAGATATAGGGGTGGATAGAAGTGACCAGAATGCAAGGAAGAAGACGTAAGAAGATGCTGGATGACCTTGGGGACAGAAGAAGATATTTTCATTTGAAGGAGAAAGCTCTAGATCGCATCAAGTGGAGGAACTGTTTTGGAAGAGACTGTGGACCTGTCGTTTTGACAGATTACAGATGAATCAATTCTGTGTTCGGCACTGCACATTGTCATATCTGTTAGTCTGAGCCTGACATCTTCATTATGTCCTGGGCATACTGCAAAAATTGAACTATGGAGATGCTAATTTTAGATCTGAGAAAAGTACATTTCTTTATCAAGGGAGGATGGCTCCTTGAAAGACACTTTTCAGTCTGTTAGTGAGGTGGAGTAACAGGTATTCCAGTTCAGATCGTCATTCTCTGAATATAAGTGTTATTTTTTTTATGGCTAATATGAAGGCATCTAGGATACGATTATTGGGCAAGGCCCATCTTTTGATATGTGATGTCTTAGAAGCAGAAAACAAAATAATAAAAAATTGTCTGAAGTGGAAGTAGCAAAATGAACAGAGCATCATTGAATTCATAAGTCTTCCAGCTTGCCCCGGTATAAGACAAGTGTGAGGCATGATAAAATACTTTACTAGTACATGATGCTAGGTGTCCTTACTGTTCAGGAGCTCAGATTTGTAAGTTCTGCCATTAACATTTCTGTTAACAGCTTTTAAATTTGTTGTAGAATGCATATGTTAGTAATTACCATATTTGTATGTGTATAAGCCACACTTTTTTGACAACAGTTTACCCTGTAATTGGGGTATTTCTTTTATATACAGAATATGTAATATTTTTTAAAAAAAAGTAGTACCTCCAAAAAGAAGCTCTTCTCCGTTAACCGGACAGTCAGTAGTGTCAGTCTGTATGTTGCCAAGGCCCAGTAGAGACGATGAAGAAAGTAGAGACCAGTAGAGACCTTTAGCATTTGAGAAAAATGGAAAGTATTAAGATGAGCTTACTAAGTAAGACCAATAGTAGAGTGAATTTACCGACTACACAACATGTTTTTATTATCACTACATGTTTCGACCTTAAGAGGTCATCTTCAGGTGTATGAACACGGCTGTATAATTACACGTGGTCACATTCACTTTTCACTCATTCGACCTTGTATCTTTTCCAGATTTACGCTCATTAATATATCGAGTTCTTTTTATAAAACACAGGTTAAAATTATTATTATTCTAACTTAATTGTTAAAAGTTAAAAGTTCGTGAATCGAAGTTCAATTCATGTCACTGGTTACACTTTCACTTGTTTTTCAGTCTCATTTTACTTACGCTCACTACTGTATCTAGTTCTTTTTAAACTAGTTTAATTATTATTATTGTTAAAAGTTCGTGAATTAAAGCTCAACTTATGTTATTGGTTACACTTTCACTTGTTTGTGAGGTCTCACTGTTCTTCTGCATTCTTTGATGTTGCTGGATCTGTTATGATCATTGTCGTGACTACGACAGAGTCTGAATTTATAACAGACTATTTTATGGCAGCACATATCCTTGTACTTGCTACCCAGTAAAGTTACCATCACATTCTAGTTGTGGCCTGAAAGTGTTACAAGAAACATTACTAATTTGTTATGATGTTAAATAAACAATCGTCATGATACCCATCACTTGGTCAGAGCTGATCTTTATAATTTCTCTTATGTGAATTTTCTGTTTAATGTGGGTTTTGTGCTTAACAAAGGCATGTTAGACTTCACACTCAAATGAATTTCATTTTCCTGCCAATAATTTTTTTTTAGGATGCATATTTCCCAGTGTGGATCAGTATGTTAGGATTGTTACCTGGCAAGCTTGTATTTGGCACATTTTTATTACATGAAGTTGAAATACTATGGCATCACTCAATTTACTGTAAATGCTCGTAGCAATAACCAAACTTCCATGAATGCAATTGCATTTTATTTTCACCCAGGTAAAAAAAGCTAGTGCAGCCCAAATAAGAGATACTAATTCTTCCACATACTTGACATAAAGTTCTAGACATGGCTTATAAACATACAAATATTGTATTTATCTTTGTATTGTTTTCAGACTGGTATGCGATGTGTGGATTGTGGCTATAGTTGTCATGAGAAGTGTGCAGAGGGCGTTCCCAAGAACTGTACAAAGTATAAGGCTGTGGCTGATGGGAATCTAACAACACAAACTCTCACTCGTAGTGGTGGAGACAGTGGGTCTGTTACCTCCAGTAAGTACCATGTATTTTCATTTTGATTTCACAAGTCATACCAACAGTTCTGTTCTAGGTTAACTGTCATTGTACTTCCTGATCATTTGAATATTCAGAAATACATGGGACATGCCAGATGTTACAAGTGTAGCCAGATTATGTACATTTGAACTGAATGTAAAATGTAATAGAACATGGAGTGTAATGTACAGAATACATATATGTACAGATATACTGTTCACACAAGTAGCAGTCTGTGATGTGTCAGTGACTGAATTCATGGTGAAGGGGAATAACTCTTGTCATCTTGAATACAGGGACGCCTGTACTGTCAAAAGATGATGACACATATCAGGCAGCAACAGAAATTGCATATCAGCCATGTAGTGATCAACTGAGAACTTACTGCAACAAGCAGATAGTCGGTGAAATTTGGAATGGGGCACCAAGCCAACAGGATATGAGCTGACATTGGACTAGCTTACAGATGTACATAGAAAGACGTGCATAGATGTGTCATCATAAAGTAAAAAAAAGTAAATTATCCCTGTAACAGGCCATGAAGGCCCATAGGGTTGTGAGACGTTCAGGGTCCCACATTATCTAGGCAATCAGCTCAAAGATGGCGGTAAGGTTGTCAGCCTTACGCACCGGCCGCGCTTTACTCCCCAGGGAAATTATTTAATTAATTCCTGGTACTCATTTCTGTTAGAGGCTGAGTGAATCCCAGGGCCATAGTGCGGCCGGAAGGATTGGGTCAATTGAAAAAAATCCAATGACCTCATCGGTATTTGAACCCGCGACCTTCCAACTTGTAGCACAGTGCCTTAACCACTACCACCTAGATGTGTCATCATAGTTGCATTAATTACATGATGCCAAGAGTGATGATTCCATGTCAAACTTTGTGACTACTACTGTAATTCCACTGTTTCAACCCACAAACCAAATGACATCACCACAGTATAGTACCTTTGGTTGGCATGGGTGTGGGATGTATACTGGTCATTTTCTTGCTCTTCAGTGTGAATGCTTAGGAAACAAAATGGTGCTGTCAGCATGACAGTGCACAACCTCACATTGTAGACAAATGTAAAAAATGGCTATGAAGTGCTTTACTACCGTCTTCACGCTCCAGACTTTGCCTGCGTAGAATATTCAGGCTCTTGGTGGATCACATGAGAAACCATCATCAGTCCCTCTATACATGTTTGATTCCCACGCACCTGATAAGCCCACGGCATGATTTCCTTCAGTGCTTTTTTGAAAGAAAATGCAAAAAAAAAAAAATACTATTTTTCACATTTCTTTGTACTTCATTGGTGTAAGGTAAACTGTCCGCAATTTTGCCTAGAAACTGAACATCATTGTAACAGCATTGCCATGTTACCAGTTATACACATGAGATGTAAAATTATATCTGTGATCAAGTTCAGTGCTGTTTATGAAGCGCTGCAATTGGCAAGATACTGGAATTGAAGTGGCACAGACTTGGGCATGTAACATATTGAAAGGAATTAGTTTTTGAAGANGTACCATGTATTTTCATTTTGATTTCACAAGTCATACCAACAGTTCTGTTCTAGGTTAACTGTCATTGTACTTCCTGATCATTTGAATATTCAGAAATACATGGGACATGCCAGATGTTACAAGTGCTGCCAGATTATGCACATTTGTACTGAATGTAAAATGTAATAGAACATGGAATGTAGTGTACAGAATACATACACGTATATGTACAGATTTACTGTTCACACAAGTAGCAGTTTGTGATGTGTCAGTGACTGAATTCATGGCCTGAAGATGGAGGCGATACGTTCCTCCGAAATGTCAGTTAACACCACATCTACATGGTGCCAGATCCCAGAAGACTGCTTTCTTCATAGTCACCACTGTGAAAACCTCAGATCTTACACAAATTATTTTTTGTTTGCATGTGTTTAAAAGCAAGTGAGCAATTCTGCCATAAAATCACTGACAGCTTATGTTCACATCCTGATACACTGTGAGATAATGTAAAATATGCCACTGTTTCCTTCTTGCAGGTGTTACAACAATCCAAACATCAAGTCAGCAATACTATGACCAGTTTTCTTCTAATGTGGCAGAAAACCGAACACATGAAGGTTATCTGTACAAGCGTGGAGCTTTGCTCAAAGGCTGGAAACAGCGCTGGTTTGTCCTTGACTCCATAAAACACCAACTGCGATATTATGATGCAATGGAGGATTCTCATTGTAAAGGATATATAGGTTGGCATTCTTTGTTTCCCTAATTTTGTGTTACATCATTTGTGACACTATTTGAAATCTTATGCTGCGTATCTCTGAACTGCCACATTTACTTTGTGGTTGCTGTATCATGTTGTAATTCATATAATGTAATATTAAAATCCTGAGTGAACTGTATCATAATTTCAGTTATATATGGTTACTATGAAATTTCTCCAACAATACAAAGAAGTTCAAATTGTGATCTTCTGGGTTGTGGACCCTGAAGTTAGTATCCACCTACAAGAAGAGTACATGGTATTGCAACCCAGAAGACCGATATTTGAACAGCCACCAGCACAGTGAAACACTCAAAACTTTTAATATAACGGAGGTTGAAACACTGGCAGTTGTCCGTTTAGTAGAAAGCAGGTAAAAATATGTTGCTGTGAAACTACATGCATTATATTAGAGTTAGTATTATTATTTTTTCTTGTATTTAACAAGAGGAAGTTCATAAAAAGTGTTGTGTTTTATAATTTTTAGGAAGTACATTTTTTTTTCAGGAAAAGCGTTTAATTCAGTCAGAGTTTCATGTGAAGTAGGGTATATTTGACCAACATGATCCAAATTAATTTTTTTGTGTAAGTTTTAGTTTAGATCCCCAGTACTGAATTTCAACAAAATCCATCAATTATTTCTGAAGTTTGTATGGGTGGTCAGACCCTTTGCATTATGCATCAGTTTTATGTCAGATTTAGGAATATGCCAGTAAGTTGTGATGGATTATATAGCCATATTGGAAAAGCTGAGAATTTATTTAGGTACTAATACTACACACCCTGGGGACAGCAAGAGGCATTGAAGGGATACTGCAGCTAGTCTAAATGAACATATAGGATTTTTCAACTAAGCATCCAGATCTTGGCCATTTCAGTGAAAGTGATAATGGTAACCTGTTGAATCTTCACAGTCTCTGAAACTCTGAACCATGGTAAACATTATATGAGCACCTAATTATATTGTTTTTAGATCTGGCTGAGGTGATGTCCGTAACTCCAGCGGCCCCAGCACCTGGTCCACCAAAGAAGACTGATGACAAATCATTCTTTGATGTAAGTAAATAAGTAACACAATGAGACTAACTCTGTGGAGCAGATTCCATTTTGGGAAGCTGGTCAAGATGTTTCCTACCTTTTATTGAACCCAGGGGTTTAATGAGTGTGCCTTTCACTGGACCTTATCCTAAGCCAGTTAAGCCTACTCCACATGAACCCTCTTTCTTTGTAATAAATGTTTATATCATCCTTCCATCTACATCTTGATCTCCCAAGAAACTGTAAGTGCACAGATGTTTAGTGCAGTTCAGCAGATATCAGACACACATGGCAAGGACAAGTGGCTTTAAAACTTTTGAGAATGTTGTTGCATGTCCAGCATTGTAGAATAGTGTGTAAGATAACAGATTCCAAAAGTAAGTACATATTGCTTTTCAATCTAAATAATTATGATGCGTGCTGTAGATTATATAATGGGTTTCGATAAGACGATGTGGAAATTACACATTATTGGATAATTGTATCATCAGGTGCAAGGAAGTGCAGTGAATAATATTATTATACTAAAGATTGAAGATGACTTAACAGTGCTGAGTAAAATTGTCAAAGAGACCTTCCCACATTTAATAGCATGCTTCATAAAATTGTAATAGAAAATACATTTTTTCTATAGTCTCTAAATGAATCTTTCAACTAAGGGATGGATGTCTTGGTAATATAAGAATCTATGTAACATTGGTTATGTGTGTTGTATTTGTTATAGTTGCGAACAAACCGAAGGACATACAATTTCTGTGCAAGTGACGCATCGACCGCACAGGAGTGGATAGAGAAAATACAGGCTTGTCTCCAGTGAACAGGTGCTCACTCGAAACAAATGTGATTAATGATGATATTAATTATATAGTTTTCTCTCTTATTGTTAGTGGTCCATTGTGATAGTTGTACGGAGATGTTGTATAATGGACTGTGTTCTTTCATTGTCGTGTTCAGCATGTAACTGTGCAAAGTGTAATAATTTATTATAATGGAAATTGAACTGTGTAAACATTTTATTAAATATGACAGTCCAGTTTAACAGTTGTTGGAATTTATAAGATAGTTACAAAACTCCACCATAACCCTAGTTTTAATGGTTTCAAGAAAACCACAAAATTGCGGTATAGGTTTAAAAATGTTCTTCAGTACATTCATTCATTATAATAACAATACAAGCATTGATTCTGTTTTTATTATTAAACAAATTTTGTTGAACAGTGATTTAATGGACAGTGGAACCTTACCGCCATCTTTGAGCTGATTGTCTATAATGTGGGACCCTCAACGTCTCACAACCCTATGGGCCTTCATGGCCTGGTACAGGGATAGCTTTACTTTACTTTTTTTTTTTACTTTAATTGTTATTGTTGCATCTGTATGGAAACCTTTCCTTGGGTGTGTTGAAGAATGAATAACATATTTCAGAAGTAGTAACTACTCTCTCCACAAACATTCAGAACAGACAGATAACTAAACACATTGTCCACTTTGTCAGTGAAGACAGGCATATGTACCATGCGAATGGTACTTCCCTTACCTCTAAGCCAGTATGAAATGTCTATTCTTGCCTCTTGCTGCTGGTTATATTCATGGAAAATGCACATGTAGAGACCAATATATAGGTGGAGGGATATTAATAAATGACTGCCAAAATCGTTGTTAATATGTGGATTGGATTCAGAGAGCTGTGAGTATGGTAATTGTCTTTGGGTTCCATTACGTTACACAATTGCTTGAACATCTGAAAAAATTTTAACTGGTCATTGAAGATTCATACTCTGGTCTTGTAATATTTGGCACCATGTTATCTGGTAATTTTTTACCAACGTTTAAGAAGACTGTGCTGCCTCCATCTTCAGGGTAGAGTGATATGGTCTAGAGTTTGAAGTGTACTGGTTAGATCTGAAGTTCTTGGGTTCTAACAGTATGTCCCTGAAGAACATTGGTAACCACCTACTAGATTACATGGTGCCATAACCCAGATGACCATAATTAAATGTCCACTGCCATGAAACCACATATCTCATGTAATAATGAAAAAAATTATGGTGGTGGTAAAAATTGTGTATTAACTGATACCTGAACCCTGCAGAAGCATGTGCTGTAGTACCAACATGATTCTTAATGGTGATGAAGGCTAACAGTGGTTATACCCAATTGGGGATCTGTATAATAGTATGCTATTAAGTTTATTACAACTCGTGCCTTTCTGGTGAAAGTATCTCAAAGATGGATCAAATAAGATGTCACAGAACAGCAAAGTTGCCCTCTTGTTTGGAATTGAAATGTGGATCCCGAGAAGCATGGACAAAAAGAACACAGCAAGGCAGATTTCTCAGGCCAGGATATATACAATGGTATAATTTGCAATGAAACAGTAGAAACTTGTTAGAGCTAATATAACACACGGCATCAAGGAATATTGGAACTATTGGTGGTCGCACGTGAAAAGTTAGGCGAGATTATGAAGTTTTGGGTTTATGTAAGCGATACCAGATGGCAGAATGAGTTGATGGGATCTACCATCTGGTGTGAAAAATTGTAACTATGTAATCTTAAATTTTTGATGCGTACGTTTATTAGACGAAATATTACTTGTTTGATGCTAGTATTATGCAGTATTTGAAAAAAAAAAATAATCAATTTATCTAGCTGAATATGGTTTCTCTTGGTCATTTCAGCTGACATGTGCTCCGAGATGCATTTAGCGGAAATTGAATTTATTACATTGCCGGCACTGACCGCCGACGCTGACTTCGGGTCAGCCATGTTTGTTTCTAGTAGTGCGGTTTTGGTTGTAGGAGTGAATGGTGGCTTATGTGTTGAGATCTAGTGATTAGGTGAGGTGGTGAAACTTAGAAAGAATTTTGTGGCGAAGTTATGAATGATAGTCATGATGTAACATGATGTCAGTAGAAGATTTCCTTTTTATGATGAAGAAAATGTGAGATATGAGTGAAATTACTTAAAAATGTGATGAAGTGTTATGGTTGTGTTTCAAATATCAGAAAGGAGCCTGTTGTGAAATTACCGTGACCATGAGTGTCCGTGGTAGTTGGTATTGTGGGTGGATTCTGTGGAGTTGGACAGTGGCCGTGATTTCGGCGTCCCAACGAAGCGGTATTACATCACGCGTCTCAGAACGGGACAGTCTTCCCCACCACGGTCGTTGTGAACCGATCACAATTCCGTTTTGCATGGACATTCAGTATAATGAGACAATTATGCCAAACCTTCTTAATCAACAGAAACAAGAAGATGCTGGATTAGAAGTGCATCAGTATTTTCCTTTAGTGAAAGTTAAATGTAGCCCAGATCTTCAGTTTTTCTTGTGTTCAGTATATGCACCTGTATGCACTATATTAGAAAAAGCAATACCTCCTTGCAGGTCTCTTTGCATATCAGCCCGACATGGATGCGAGACACTTATGAACAATTTTGGATTCCTGTGGCCAGAAGAATTAGACTGTGAGAAGTTTCCTGAAACTGGCACTGATATATGCGTAGGAGAAAACAACACAGCGAGCACGAATGGCCCAGGTGGAGGGAGCCGTGCAGGAGGGCCAATCTCTCACGGAGACAATTACCCTCTTCAACCCAACTTTGAATCGAAATTTCCAAAAATTCCAGATGGCGCTAGAGACTATGGTTTTGTTTGTCCGGTTCATTTCAAGGTTCCTAAGGATATGAATTATTCCTTGAAAGTGGGTGACAAAGTGGAGAAGAATTGTGGTGCACCTTGTCATGGAATGTTTTTTAGTGATGATGAGCAACATTTTGCACGTGTTTGGGTAGGAGTATGGTCTGTGTTATGTGCGGCCTCTTGCCTTTTCACAGTCTTAACGTTTCTCATAGATAGAGACCGCTTTCGATATCCAGAACGACCAATTATATTTTTGTCCCTTTGCTATCTCATGGTGGCACTGACTTACGTGGTGGGTTTTGGTGCTGGGGATTCAATATCATGTCATGATCCGTTTCCACCTCCGTTGGAATTGCAGCATTTGCAGATGGTGTCAATAATCACACAAGGAACAAAACACCAGTGGTGCACTCTTCTCTTCATGGTACTCTACTTCTTCAGCATGGCATCCTCTATCTGGTGGGTGGTGCTGACACTTACATGGTTTTTGGCTGCTGGGCTCAAGTGGGGACATGAAGCCATTGAAGCAAATTCCCAGTATTTCCATATGGCAGCCTGGGCAGTGCCTGCCATCAAAACCATCACAATACTTGCCATGGGAAAAGTTGAAGGTTTGTGTCATTTATCTCTCTTTCCTTGGTATCTACATTAGAGTTGGTACAGAATGGTGTGTCATTTGCCTGCCATTGGTCCACGGACAGGTTAGAGTGGAGTGGCACAATGTTTGCCTACTTTGAATTAATTTAATTTTAAATGTCAAGAGTGTGACTTTATTAGATCAAACAGATTCCATGCAGTAGAGTCCCTTTTGAGAAACTTAATTATTGAGGGAGCCAGTTACACTCCGTATATATAATCGTTCAGCCATGTATATTTCGTTTCAATTTGATATAATTCTACAAATGAGAAGGACCGCCTCTGTGGTCTAGTGGTCAGAGTTCCTGGCTACAGATCCAGAGGTCCCGGGGTCGATTCCCGGCGCTACCAGATATTCTGAGATGTAGTGAGTCAGGAACGGGGTCCACTCAGCCTCGTGAGGATAATTGACGAACTATTTCAAGGAACTAGCAGCTCCGGTCTAGAAAACCGAGATTAACGGTCGTGGGGATCCGTTGCGCTGTCCACGCGACATCCTCTATCCGCAAACGCTGGCACTAACTTCGCCGACAAGCGGCGGTCGCCCCAGTCGGTATAGTTCGCTTGCGGACTACAGGCCACGGAGTCTACATTGACTATATGATTGGGAAGAGAAGGTTTTAGAGATGGACGAACACATCTTCCACCAAGGATTACTCGGTTTCAGGACCTTAGCCATGATGTAGTATACCTAACGCAATATAACGGTTCACTCGTTGAGATTACCTCTTCGTAATCCACAGAACTGAGTAGTTACCACCTCATCTTTTAACCAGAGCCTAGAAACAGATCTGATGGTTTCGTAAGTATTGTATTCGGTTTGAAATACCATATTAGACGATGGGCAGAGCCCAGAAACCCTGTAATCTGCGTGTGATATATCATCGTAAATGAACCCACGATTTTATTTTATTTTATTTATTTATTTATTTTGTTTCTTGTGAAGAAATTCGCAACATGCACGAGAATGAAAGAATAGTGTGCTCGTGTGCAGTCCGGAGGTCATAATTTTAAATCTGGGTTGAACATAAGATAGGATACGTGGATCCAAATGCGTTACATGCGCATAAAAAAAAAAAGGCTGTATTGTGGGCTTTTCGGGCAATTAAGATGGAAACAGCAAGGATCTCCGAAAAGTCGGTACTACCCGGTGCCTTCTCACAGAAACGGGGTAAAACCTGTACTGTACAGCCGTGAAAGTCTGCAGTCTTCTGTAGGATAAGAAACTTGAAGTTTGGGTCGAAACTGCTATAATTGAAGACATTAAGAGCTATCCCTGTAAACAGTCCGTGGAGGGTTGTGAGACGTCGAGGCTCCCACATTTTCTCTAGACAATCGGCTCGCAGATGGCGATTAGGTTGTCAGCCTAAGCGCCGGTCGCCCCATACCCCCAGAAGATTCCTGGTACTCATTTTTGTTAGAGGTTGAGTCGGTCCCAGGGTCATAGTGTGGCTTGAAGGATTAGGTCAATTAAAAATCCAGAGACATCGGGAATAGAACCCGCGACCTTTCCTGCCTGTAGCATAATGACCAACTACGCTACCGTGTGCCCTGGCACACGCATTTTATGCAGTGCGCTTTTATATGAAACTTAAAATTGCTGTACGGCGAACCCAACCAGGAAAGAATTAATTTACGTTAGGCATTTGCGCCATGTTCAGGAGCCGGGATAGCGTAGTCGGCATAGCGACTGCCTACGAGCTGGACGACCGAGAGGTCGGAGTTCGAGTCCCAGTAGGGTCAAGAATTTTCTCTCCATGTCGTCCAGACCGGCTCTGGGGTTCACCCAACCTCCTATCCAATGGTTACTCGGGGCTCTTTCCCTGGGGTAAAGCGCCCGGGGCTTGAAGCTGACCACTCACCTCCATCTAGTACCGAGGTCATGAACATGTGGATCTATACACCCACTCCCCCATACATCTTCATGGCGTAGTGCTTAATTAGTTAAGCACAGGGCAGCTTTGCCTTTCCCTACCTTATTTGTGCAATTGTCACAGGCTTTTTCGCATCGGATAAAGGGCAACCTTAGGTATCCTAGCAACCAGACAGGCTCACTGCTAGCTGCGTGTATTAAATATTTCATGCCACTTTGCTTGTTGCATTCTTAGGGCATACTTTTTCTAATGATTTATCACGATCAGATGTTGTGTGTTTTGATGTGCCAGTTGCTGATATATTTCTTGGTTTTTATGTCTCAATTTGAGACACTTGAAAGAGTAATTTAAGTTTGTAATGTTCATAATCTTGGCTCTTCAAACATCACTTCTGGTGGCGCCATGTTTGGTGGCTGGCTATGGATTTTTTTACATCACCTGGAAATGGGCCAGTGTATTGCCTGCAACATGTTTTAAACTAAGGTTTGCTGCTGCCAAGGAAAGACAGACTTGAGTTAAAATTAGTTTTCTTCCACTTGAAAGCTGCTTGCTCCACCCTGCTTCTCAGATCTCCGCTGTAAATATATAAGGGAACCTTCTTTTCTGTACATATTTTATGTTTCTTGGGGGATTTTTCTGTTTCTTCCATACGTGACGTCAGCACTGTGGTAATTTTATTTAGGTTTCGCCCGACAGTAACTGTGTTAAAGGTTCAGCCTTCTTACCATGACACATTTTGAATGCTTTCTTCCAAACGTGTCAGTCAAGTGACCAACAATCCTGTTTTGTATTCAGGGCGTCCCGTGTTTAAAACTCGGTCCGGAGACCGGCTATCATGATAGGACTTTCGCGATAGCTTTCAGCCCCTCCGGGCATATGCCAGGATAGTAACTCGAATTTATCAACGACTGCTTCCTTCAAAAACCTTACCATTTCATGACTTACTAATCGTTCCATTAATCTGCTGTCTTTGGTCTAGTGGTCAGAGTTCCTGCCTACAGAGCCAGAGGCCCCGGGTTCGATTCCCGGCACTACCAGATTTTCTGAGAAGTAGTGGGTCTGGAACGGGGTCCATTCAGCCTCGTGAGAATAATTGAGATATTTTAAGGAAATAACGGCTCCGGTCTAGAAAACCGAAATTAACGGCCGTGGGGATTCGTTGCGCTGACCACGCGACACCTCTCCTCTAAAGTTGGCACTAACTTCGCCGACAAGCGGCGGTCGCCCGGCCGGTATAGTTCTCATGCGGACTAAAACCACGGAGTTTGTTTTTTATTTTATTTTTATTCTCATCTGCACAAGGTGACCCAGCAGGAAAGGTCATTCTAAGCAAAAAAGAAAAAGTTATGTACACGTATCCTATTCCGAACGGTTTTTCGAGAAGGAGCTGTTTCACTGTACAGTTCCAAATTGTTGATAAGAAAGAGATATTACGTACTGTTTCTAATACCGGTATTTACTGTTAAAGTGACAAAATTAGTACAGTTTACCTAGTATAATACATTTTCGAAACATTTTCTCTAACACTGATAAACTTTGATTTAAATTGAAGTGAAGAGATGTGGAGGATAGCGATCATGGCCTAATTTGAGATACTGTCCCAGAATTAACCTGAAGGGACTGAGTAAAATAGCTTAGAACTCACAATAGCTAATCTCCGTGCCGAGAATTGAAGTCTGGACTAAAGCTGGAATGCCAGCCACTCAACCGCGACCTACATTAGATTATCGGTAGGGAATATTTGGGCCTAATGAAGGGCTCATGGACCCTTCGACTCCTGGATGACAAAGCATGACGTAACCTGGCATAAAATGGCGTCGTAAAAATTTATAACCCAGCAGCCTCCATAATAAAGTCTGAAGGAAGATATGTGCATTCCAAAAAGGAGGGGGAGGAAGAAATATTTCCAGTCCTGAAAGTGAAAGCATTCGTTATGCTCTGTAAAAAAATAACTGATCCAAGTAACCACCCTACTTGATGCAACTTCTAGCTGTTTCAGAAATCTATTTTCCATTTTGGCCCCTTTCTTCGCGTTTCAAACAAGAAGTTCCCCCCCNAAAAGTACCTAATAGCTTCGCCTCGCCATGTCTATCCGTCCGTAACTCGAGAGTTGCTGAACGAATTTTCGTGAAATTTGGTATTTGGTAGTTTCGCGAAAATATGTTCACGGGCGCCAATCTCGGTTAAAATTGAACACTTTACGCGAAGGCCTGCGCTTAACTAACTAAGCACTACGCCATGAAGGCGTATGGGGGAGTGGATGTATAGATCTATTTCTTGACCTTGGCCTTAGTTGGAGGCGAGTGATCAGCTTTAAGCCCCGGTCGCTTTACCACGAGAAAGAGCCCCCGGTAGCCATCGCATAGGACATCTGGACCGTAAATTGCGAAATATTTATCGGAGCTGATTTTTTTCGAGCAGATGGTAGACGAAAATGAACAAATTTTATGCCCAGTACTTCCTACGGGTTTCGAGATAAATAAAGGGAGCAAACTCTCCAGGATTGTTACGTTGAGCGTAGCAGTGATTGCTGACTTGTCAAGTTGGGATAAGGAAGAAAACTTAGACCTAATAAATAAAGAAAGGAAAATGGGAAAAAGACTAGTTACTCCCTCTAACATTTCGTTCTCGCCTTTTCTTTGCTCTTCTTAACCTGCATTATAATGATATTGGTTATCTGGTGAAATTACAAATGAGTGAAACATTTTTATCCTATTAAAATCTTGGCTATGCGGTTAGTCGCTGGCTTCCCACCGCGGCGGCCCGGGTTCGATCCCGGGTCTGGTCAAGTGGGATTTGTGGTGGACAAAGTGGCGCTGGGGCAGGTTTTCTCCGAGTACTTCGGTTTCCCCTGCCAATCTTCATTCCACCAATTGCTCCACAATCACCCTCACCTATCATCTGGGGCTGGTACAATAGGCCAGAAGTGGCCGCAGTACAAGGGACTTAGTCCCACCCCACTAGCAATAAAAAAATTCTAAGTGCACAGCATTATTGGACAAGGACGCCAGCGTTGACGGAGAAACGGTGAGACATGTCAAGAACAAAAACTTTTTGTGATTAATTAAGGGTAAGTGTAATAAAGAACTTTCCCCCCCCCCCT